GAGTTATATTTAAAGAGGCTCCACCAACACACTGATAACCACAGGAACACAGAGGCTTCTAGAAACATCCGACAGAATACAGAGTACTACAAGGCCACCAAATGTATCGTCAAAGTTCTGTTTCCATCTAATTACTGTTGATGACAGAAATGTCCTTAAATGAGCTAACGATGCTAAGATGCTTCCTGAACGTCAGACCTGATTATATTTATATATATGTATTTCTGTCCAAGACGTCTCCCTCACACACACTTCTGGACTTTGTGGCTCGAACGGTCATGTGCAGATGCAGCAGTGATAAGTGTTATCTGCAGGATGTTCCCCAGCATCAACACACACACACACACACACACACACACGAAACACTGATCTGAACAGACAGCAGATGTCCATCCACCGGGAGTCACATGCACTCAATCTCAATCTCTCACACACACACACACACACACACACACACACACACACACACACACACACACACACACACACACACACACACACACACACACACACACACACACACACACACACACACACACACACACACACACACACACCACACACACACACACACACACACACACACACACACACACACACACACACACACACACACACACACACACACACACACACACACACACACACACCACACACACACACACACACACACACACACACACACACACACACACACACACACACACAAGCCTTATATAACCTGGTGTGTTACTAATTAACAACAGCTTTCATATCATGTTCCTGATCCGCTTCCAGAATTCATATGCTTGCACATTTTTTACATGTTCTTCCTCTGCTCATACCACACCCTCACACCAAGTTTCATTAAAATCAAGTAAGCAGTTCTTCCGTAATCCTGCTCACAAATAATGTTTTTAAAGCGATTTAAAAGCCGCTGAAAGATAAACGCTTGCCCTTTAAACACTGAATGATCTCTGCAGTAAAACAAGTCGTCGGATAATGAACATATGATGAAAGGTCATATGTCACATGATGAGCCGTGCAGAACTAAATGCATGTGTTAAAAAGGATTTCACGCTCCAGTGTTGAGCAGACAGGAAGTATACGTAACGCTGATAGTGTTAACAGAGCAGTACTGTGCAGAGAGAAAGCCCCCGACGGCTGATTTCATACTTTAATAAACTGGATTCAGAAGTCATGAGAGTGACGTCAGGAAAGACCCTCAGATCATTCTGCAGCGGCATGACGCCTCTCTCCGTTAACCAGGAACTAAAACAGTGAAAATGTACGGTTTAGTTCGTGAAAGATTAGGATGATTGTCTTGTTTTGTCACTTTGATATGATAGAAAATAGAGAAAAGCAGCACATCTCCAGAGGCTGAGAACAGCTTTCATGACGTTTCTCCATTAAAAGTGACCTTTTCTTTGCAGATTATTTAAATTGAATTTTGAAGCCATGAATCTGTCCGCAGATACGTTGCCAGCCAATCCAAACCTTCATAGATGGAGAGTTTCAGGGCAGAAAGTAGAGCACATCTTCTCCTAAGATCTAGGCAAAATAGCCGGTTTAAAAGATTCAATAAAAAGGGAAACGTTTGGAAAGTCTCTCGTCAATAACGTCACAGAAAGATAGTCAGCGTTTAAAACAGAACACAACTTAAAGTAAAAACAGCCTGCCGCACACGGATCATTATTAAAGAAGCACAAGGTGTTCTCTCTCCTGTAGTGTGTTCTTTAGGTTTTAGTGCACGTAAATGGTCTCCAGAGGCTAAAATCCCTGTTCCCTCCCTAATAGAGCCGGCCAGCTGACCAATCAGAGCAGACTGGGCTTCAGAAAAGAGGTGCTGCAGCACAGAAAGTATGAGAAAAATAAAGAGCTTTTTGAACATTAAAGCATGGAGACATGTCCCAGTAGAGGACTCTTTAAAGTAGAGACACTACATACTGATATACACCTGAACATCAGCAGGAGAGGACTCTTTAAAGTAGAGACACTACATACTGATATACACCTGAACATCAGCAGGAGAGTACTCTTTAAAGTAGAGACACTACATACTGATATACACCTGAACATCAGCAGGAGAGGACTCTTTAAAGTAGAGACACTACATACTGATATACACCTGAACATCAGCAGGAGAGGACTCTTTAAAGTAGAGACACTACATACTGATATACACCTGAACATCAGCAGGAGAGGACTCTTTAAAGTAGAGACACTACATACTGATATACACCTGAACATCAGCAGGAGAGGACTCTTTAAAGTAGAGACACTACATACTGATATGAACCTGAAAGTGAGCAGGAGAGGACTCTTTAAAGTAGAGACACTACATACTGATATGAACCTGAAAGTGAGCAGGAGAGGACTCTTTAAAGTAGAGACACTACATACTGATATGAACCTGAAAGTGAGCAGGAGAGGACTCTTTAAAGTAGAGACACTACATACTGATATGAACCTAAAAGTGAGCAGGAGAGGACTCTTTAAAGTAGAGACACTACATACTGATATACACCTGAACATCATCAGGAGAGGACTCTTTAAAGTAGAGACACTACATACTGATATACACCTGAACATCAGCAGGAGAGGACTCTTAAAGTAAAGACACTACATACTGATATACACCTGAACATCAGCAGGAGAGGACTCTTTAAAGTAGAGACACTACATACTGATATACACCTGAACATCAGCAGGAGAGGACTCTTTAAAGTAGAGACACTACATACTGATATACACCTGAACATCAGCAGGAGAGGACTCTTTAAAGTAGAGACACTACATACTGATATACACCTGAACATCAGCAGGAGAGGACTCTTTAAAGTAGAGACACTACATACTGATATACACCTGAACATCAGCAGGAGAGGACTCTTTAAAGTAGAGACACTACATACTGATATACACCTGAACATCAGCAGGAGAGGACTCTTTAAAGTAGAGACACTACATACTGATATACACCTGAACATCAGCAGGAGAGGACTCTTTAAAGTAGAGACACTACATACTGATATACACCTGAACATCAGCAGGAAGAGACTCTTTAAAGTAGAGACACTACATACTGATATACACCTGAACATCAGCAGGAGAGGACTCTTTAAAGTAGAGACACTACATACTGATATACACCTGAACATCAGCAGGAGAGGACTCCTTATATAAGATTTCATGCTTTTTGAGCGCTGGAATTCTAATGTAATTACTGTAGCTTCTGCTAAACCTGCAGGATAACAGGAAACTGCCCACTGGATTATAATTATTCTGCACGGCCTGACTTCAAACGACCAACTGAGCTTTGAAAATTAGACCTGGTGCTGCATTAAATCTACAAAGTCCAGCTAGATGTGCACAACATGTACGTTTCTAGCTGAGCCTGTTCCTCTGATAGCTTCAGATCCAGATATCCGGTTAAACTATAGAGATAAGAAGCAATGTGATAGAAAGTCCGTTTATAACAGCTTCTGGCACACAACATATGCTCAAAGGAGATATGACGCCGTTACAGGAGACGAGATGATGGTGACAATCGTGAATATTATCTGAGATTCAAAGGGTACATGTGTATGAAAGCGATGCAGTATCTAGACGAAAAGACCCCACTCAATGCAGAACAACCCTCTTTATCTTCATCTACAGTTACAGATGTGAAGGAGGCACAGAAAGCGTGTTATCATGTTCGAGGCGAGGTCTGTTGTCCCAGCGCTCTTATCTGGTTTAACACATGTTAAACGAGGACGAAGGGGGTTCAAAAAATGAAGAATAATCAAACAGATATCACTCAATTATTTATTGTGATAATTGTGATTAAGTTTGGTATAATTTTTTTATGAGAACGTCAAGAAAAGTTCATTATTAAGATTCAACTTAGCTCTTTAATTTGTCAAATTTCAAAGTAAAAAGGGAGAAATGTGTAAGCTATATTTATTTATGACATTAGAAATATTTAAACCACCACCAAAACTGATTACAGTTTGATTTGATACATTTTTCTTAATTTTTTATAGTACTTTTACTGTTTAATACGAATATTTTAATCAGCATTAATCAACTACAGTTCCCAGAATGCTTTTCTGACAAACACTGGTTGTGGATATACATTAAAGCTAATATATGGAGTTTTTAAATGGTCAGTACGGAAGTATTTATGGTGGTTAAACTTTATTATGGCACTTAAGAGATAATGCTTTACAGTTGACAGAACAGCTGATTATCAGATCAGATAACAAATACAGTTTAACATATCTTTATGACGTCACTAAGTTCAACTATACCTTATTTTTCCATTTGTTTTTCTGTTTACATTTGTCAATATGCTTCAGCAATAATTGAGTCTTCTTACAGTCAAGAAAAGCAGTTTAACTTGTCCTTATTTTTCCCCTTTAAAACACCCTTTGTTCACAAACGCACTTAGTGAGTGCACTTAGTTAGTTGTGTGAATAAAAACCTCATCTAGTTAAAGTTCCCAAAGTGAGGATATGCTACCTGTAATCCTTTAAGAGACTAACATTATATATTGTTTTACTTTAAAAACACCTGAGGCTTGTTTTCGATTTTTAAAACCACTTAATTAACCCTTTAAAAAACAGTTATAATCTGTATAGTCCAAAGCCGAGTCTGCATATTACATCTCCTCTTGGTTTTAATGAAGAGTTGTTTATAGCATATACATTGGATTGTTATAGGTCACCCTGGACTAGATGGACATTTCTCACCATTGAACCTGTCCGCAGACACAGTGACAGCCAATCAAAACCTTCATGGAGAGAGATTTAGGGCAGAAAGTAGAGCGCATCTTCTCCTAAAATCTAGGCAAAATAGCCGGTTTGAAAGATTCAATAAAAGGGAAAAGTTTGGAAAGTATCTCGTCAATAACGCAACAGAAAGATAGTCAGCGTTTAGACAGAATACAACTTCATGTCGTTTTGTTAATTGAACTGAACTCATAAAAACACACACCTGTGCACGAGGGGTTACCGTCAGACTGAAATCCTTCTTACCTCGCGAGTCGCGTGCAGCTTCTTCAGAGTATCGTGCAGCAGAGAGATCCGGGACAAACACCGGGACAAACACCGGGAGATGATGCCGGTATTCCGGGTCGCTGCCTGAGATCAGCCGCTGTTCGTGGTGCGTTCAATGTCCTCTGTGTTTTTCTACCACCGCACCCTCCTCCTCTGCAGATTTTCCTCCACCTGGTCCCGAGTTTAACACCAGCTGGAGCTCAGGACCCCCCCCCCCCCCCCCCCCTGAAGACCCGCCTCCTGACGGCTCCCCTACTGGAGGAAGACCAGTACTGTCATTACATAAACACACACACACACACACACACACACACACACACACACACACACACACACACACACACACACACACACACCTCAGTATCAGAATCAGGTTTATTACCAGGTAGGTTGACACGCACGAGGAATTTGACTTGATGTCATGGTGCGCATAAAAGTAACACACACACACACACACACACACACACACACACACACACACACACACACACACACACACACACACACACACACACACACACACACACACACACACACACACACACACACACACAATACAGTGTTTATATATTATAAAAAATATATATAAAAAGGAATTATACTGTGTCTTTAAGAGAAAATGTAAGAAATAAACACAACATTAAATAAAGATAAAATATAACCACCTTTACATCAAGCAATGTGTGATAATAGAAATATATTTATATTTCATAAAAGTGTGTTTTGGGGAGTTCCAGCCTCCACATTGCTTGAAACCGGCTGAAAAAACCCCCCAAAGATATTTGATCATCATTTCATGCTGGTTAATGTTTTTAATTTATATAATCTGTATAATAACCCCGGGCCTGCAGCAGATCTGTCAGCATGTGTGAAAAGCGCTCCTAAAATAATCAGATGATGATCAGCAGCTCGGTGCCTGCAGCGTGTTGCCGTCTCCTCGCTAATGTTTAACCGACGAGAGCAGCATGACTCGAATTAGCTGCAGAGCATCGTCCTCTGCATGATTCATCCAGAGGTGACCAGGCTGCTAAAGTGTGTGTGTGTGTGTGTGTGTGTGTGTGTGTGTGTGTGTGTGTGTGTGTGTGTGTGTGAAAACACTACGGTTAACCTTTGCACACAACTGCCCGACACACTACGAAACGCACAAGTTAAAGTGCCTTTTTTTCCCACTAAAGCTGTCCAATAATGTAGCCCTAAAGTATAAAATATTTAAAGACACTACATGTCTACACGTTCTCTGTCACTATATCTCTGTGCACGACAAACTCTTCCTTATACAGCGAGTCTTTGCACATTTCTGCAAAAATGACCTCTGTAAAACTGCACTTTTTAAAATACATTTATCAGATTTTTCTTGTATTTTCAATTTTTCTGTATTTGTGTTTCATGCACACATTGTTCTTTATAGTACACTACATTTAAATCTCTCATACTGTGTTTACATTTGCACACAAAACCAAATAGTTATTATATAAAGTTGGAAAGATTCCCCTAAAATGTCACAAAAATAAAACACATACTTAAATATAATAACTTCTATGCACGGTCCTTGTTCAATAAAGACAACATATAATGAAATGAATATGAATTCTTATTATTACAATTTTAAAAAGCATGCTTGATCATAATTACTACTAAAAGTCAACAAATAGGCCCATCTCCCAGCTACCTTTTTTATCAAAAGCCCTGGAGCGAGTAGTCTACGCCCAGCTGCAGTCTTTTTAAACCATGCATGGAATCCATGAAAAGTTTCAGTCTGGCTTCAAACCCATGCACAGCACTGAAACAGCCCTTTGAAGAGTTTTTAATGATCTGCTCCTAGCCGCCGACTCAGGTAGCCCAGCTGTCTTGGTGCTGTTAGACCTAACAGCTGCCTTCGACACTGTGGACCATAGCATCCTGCTGTCACGGCTTGAACAGTCCGCTGGCATCACAGGCTCTGCCCTTGCATGGTTCAGGTCCTACCTGACAGACCGTAGCTTCTCGGTACAGCTAGGTGCCTTCTCCTCTGCCAAAGCCCCTCTTACCTGTGGGGTTCCCCAAGGCTCGATTCTGGGCCCCATCGTTTTTCTACTGTACATACTGCCCCTAGGTTCAATTCTCACAAAACATAATATTCCCTTCCACTGCTACGCCGACGATGTACAGATCTATCTGCCACTCAATTCAAATGTAAACTCATTACAGCTATTGATGGACTGCTTAGCAGAGATCAAATCCTGGCTGAGCCAACATTTCCTCAACCTCAATGACAGCAAGACTGAGGTTATCTTTTTTGGACCCCAACCTCCAGCCTCCCAGGTTGATATTCTGGGCTCCCTCAAAAATAATATCCTCCCCTCTGTCACGAACCTTGGAGTGACCTTCAATAGCGCTTTTAAATTCGATAAGCAGGTCAGCAGCGTAGTCAAAACCTGCTTTTTTTAAATACGACTATTGGCCAAGACCAAGTCGTTTTTATCGTTTGAGGACCTGGAAAGGGTTATTAACGCCTTTGTTACCTCGAGGTTGGATTACTGCAACGCTCTGTATGTGGGTATGGACCAGGCGTCAATTAAACGCCTGCAGCTAGTCCAGAACGCAGCTGCACGTCTACTCACTGGCCACAAAAAGCGTGACCACATCACCCCAATTCTGCCTCACTACACTGGCTTCCAATTCGGTTCAGAATTGATTTTAAAATCCTTTTATTTGTTTTTAAAGCCCTAAATGGGCTGGCTCCGGCCTATATAGCTGAACTCCTCCAGCGCTACACCCCAGCCAGAGCTTTAAGGTCTGCTGACCAGCTGCTGCTGGTAGTGCCCAAGACCAGGCTCAAAACCCGAGGGCACCGAGCCTTCGCAGCAGCTGGCCCTAGGCTCTGGAACACTCTGCCCCTCCATGTGAGGTCGGCCCTGACCCTAGGGGTTTTTAAATCTACTCTTAAGACACACTTCTTCTCCCTGGCCTTCTAGTCAGAGCGGAGCACGACTCCTGACTTTTCCCTGTGTTTTCTTTTTAAATATCTGTTGTAATTTATTGTCTTTTATTGTGCTTATAGAAATGTGTTTTTATGTGATTGTAGTTATTACATGTACAGCACTTTGGCCCGACCAAAAATCGCTTTTAAATGTGCTCTATAAATAAACCTTGATTTGATTTGATTTGAAATAATTTAAAAAACATGTACGTTTTTTGGGGTGAAAATGCCATAAAATGTGTACTTTTAGTGGCATTAGGGAGGATCCCTCGTGGGGAACATGACTCCAGAGCACCAAAAGGTCCAGATTGATGCACCTTTGCACTATTTCACGTCTGTTTTATCTCTCGTATGTTGCATGTTGAAGACGCCTGGAACACGCTGTGAGGTGTGTGTGAGGTGTGTGAGGTGTGTGTGAGGGGTGTGAGGTGTGTGAGGTGTGAGGTGTGTGAGGTGTGTGAGGTGTGTGAGGTGTGTGAGGTGTGTGTGAGGTGTGTGTGGTGTGTGAGGTGTGTGTGAGGTGTGTGAGGTGTGTGAGGTGTGTGAGGTGTGTGTGAGGTGTGTGAGGTGTGTGTGAGGTGTGTGTGAGGTGTGTGTGAGGTGTGTGTGAGGTGTGTGTGAGGTGTGTGTGAGGTGTGTGTGAGGTGTGTGTGAGGTGTGTGTGAGGTGTGTGAGGTGTGTGTGAGGTGTGTGTGAGGTGTGTGTGAGGTGTCCCCAGCGGCTCAGACACACACACACACACACACAGTCACACACACAGTAGAAAGCAGCACTTTGTTGTTATGAAATGTGCAGGAGGCGCTGTCACAGTGACCATGCAACAGCTTTAATCTAATCCCCTTCCTCAAGATTAGGAGAGAAAATCTCCATTCAGCCTTTCGTGTAAATTACAAAGCACGTGAGACTAACCCTTTGCACGCAGCACTCGTTTCATGGCTCACCAGAGAGGTTACCTTTCCTCTGTGTGATCACTGATGCGGCTTTCACACCAGCGCTTTTCCCTTTCTAGCTCCGAGCGAGAGCTTTTCTGGTTCAGCTCCGGTTTCCCTTTTCAGCTCCCGCTCTGTTCACACCGCCCAGAGCTGCCGCTGCTGCGTCATGACGTCACAGTTTACGTCGCTGATTTTCTCTCACAACAACAACGGGCCGGGGACTGCATCGGGTCGATGATCGTGTTGCTTTTAATCATACGAAGCCAGATTAAATTAAATAACGACTTCTCCAACCTTATACTTTTCTCCAGAGTGCCGTGGTTCATTGTTTATTAATGTGTTTCATTTACCGACCGCTGCAGTGCTGGCTGCTCTTCCACGGGAGTTTATTCTCCCGTTAGCTCCGGGTTAGCTCACACAGCTCTAAAGTATTCACTGTCTGACTGTCACACAAGCAGCTGATACATATCCCCAGTTCCCCTTAAGTGAATGTGTGTCAGTCTGAATTGACGCTGTTTGGCATCACAACGCTGTTATGAAAGTTTCTCTGGTATAACATGGGTGATGTTAGCATAGCAACCGAAGCTAAACTGACTACTTGCTAAGCCGTTTTCTACAGGCACATTTTACAGACGTATTTTTCATTATGATTCTACTTGTGATAGTCGGACATGATAACCTGTACAGCCCATGTATTAATTCCATCCGATAGCTGCTATAATAACAAACAAAACGTCTGCCTGCTGTCCACAATGATCAATAACAGCGAACGGATGGTCAAAGTAAGGTTTCCTGCACGCCTCGACGTAAGAGACGCCGCGTCATAGCTCCGAAGCTCTTGCCTCTGGACCGACAATTTTTTGGAGCTGGAAGTGAACCGCATTCTGGAGCTATGACGCGGCGCCGCTGCGGTGTGAACAGGAAAAACCGGTGCTTTTCAGGCTCTAGCTCCCAGCAGGAGCTGGAAAAGCGCCGGTGTGAAAGGGGCATGTGTGAGGATATTACCAGGAGCTCATCAGAGAGGTTACCTTCCTCTGTGTGATCACTGTGAGGATATTACCAGGAGCTCATCAGAGAGGTTACCTTTCCTCTGTGAGGATATTACCAGGAGCTCACCAGAGAGGTTACCTTTCCTCTGTGTGATCACTGTGACATTACCAGGAGCTCACCAGAGAGGTTACCTTTCCTCTGTGTGATCACTGTGAGGATATTACCAGGAGCTCATCAGAGAGGTTACTTTCCTCTGTGTGATCACTGTGAGGATATTACCAGGAGCTCATCAGAGAGGTTACTTTCCTCTGTGTGATCACTGTGAGGATATTACCAGGAGCTCACCAGAGAGGTTACCTTCCTCTGTGTGATCACTGTGAGGATATTACCAGGAGCTCACCAGAGAGGTTACCTTTCCTCTGTGTGATCACTGTGAGGATATTACCAGGAGCTCACCAGAGAGGTTACCTTTCCTCTGTGTGATCACTGTGAGGATATTACCAGGAGCTCATCCTGGGAAAGAGGAATGAAGCAGAGACTCTTAAGAGCTCCTTCAATCCTCCCCGACTGCTTAGTGACGCAAATCTGCACTAACTGGGTGTGAACATACTGCTGCAGGAATCCATACTGATCATCCTCACTTTCTGCACACGTCACTAAACGCTGCTCAGAAAAATATTAATAATATCACTCAATATGAAGTTTTGAAGTACTGGCAATTATAGTAAAAAAAACTGCATTTTATTTTAAGATTACACATAATTTAAGGGTTGTTAACCAAAAGCAACTGATTCAAACTGCACATACATTGTGTGTGTGTGTGTGTGTGTGTGTGCGTGTGTGTGTGTGTGTGTGTGTGTGTGTGTGTGTGTGTGTTCACAGTATTGGACTCATTCTGTCACATCTCGTGTGTGTCACTCTGCCATTAAACTTCAACCCTGTGTGTGTAGACTGAATAATGTATTTTCCCCAATCACACACGCACGCACACACACACACACACACACACACACACACGCACACACGCACACACCCACACACACACACACACACACACACACACACACACACACACACACACACACACACACACACACACACTCACCACAGTGTTAACATCCAATATTAATTGAATTTTTCTTGGAAAGCATCGTTAATTGGATCTTTGCAGACACGTTGTTTCTCTTGTTCAGGACTACTGTGACATTAAATAATAATAATCAGACCAAAGAGTCTCAACCGGGAAATAGATCAGAGGCCTTGAGATAAACTCCATGCATGCATCGAGTTCAGAGGAGCTGCTAGGTGGCAGTAACACACCGCGTCTCTCACGTGCAGAGCAACAACTCAGAGCCTCTATTGGCAGAAAGGCAAATATTCAGTATTCATGTCATGGTTTTAATGTGTAGTTTAGATAGTACTGTTAAATAAGTGCTTTTTACTCGTGTTTAAAGCAACCTGTAACTATAGTTGTCAAATGAAGTCACTAAGAAGTAGGAAAAGGTGGATTCAAATGGATTGATCCGGGTAAAGCACTGGAGTAGATGTTCTTATTTGTGTTATGTGACGTGTTGCCTGAGCAGATATGAATGATCTTGTCGTGATTTGACTTCTAAACGTATGAGTCCTGCAGTCAGAGACTTCCAGAAGAGCTCCAGGTAAACAATGCTCTGATGTAACGCAGCGTGAAACCTGCAGTGATCTGATGGACTTTAATCCAGAGTGAAAGTTGGATCATGTAATCGTGCTGAAAGCATAAGAGCCGCGGTGCAGCGGACATATTCTCATCATTTGCTCAACAGCCGCTTTTAAAAAAAAGTCAAATTAATCCCTGGAGATTTCTCTGGAGCAGCGATATGATCAAAACCCAAAGCAGAAACAAATGAATTTCTCTGATTAATCCTCCTAAATCTCCTGGAGGTTGGTCAAGGTTTTCTGACCCTTTCTAAGAACGGCTGGATTACTGGAAAGGAACAACTGGGCACAGACCCCAAGCTCAGGGCACAGACCCCAAGCTCAGGGCTCAGACCACAAGAAACAACTAAACAACTAAACAATCATTCATGATGCAAGAGAGACACAAAAGGACGAACAGTAGACGCAAAGACAACCAGAAAAATATAAGAAATGACCAAAATGTAGATGCAAAACAGAAAATAACCGTAGAAAGGTGGAAATAGGTTCAATTAGAGTCAAAATAACCATTGTAGTATGCAAAGCAATAACAGATGCTAAAAGATGCAAAATGATGATAAATAGATGCTTGGCAAACATAGAGATGCAAAAGACTATATACACGACACAAAATGACTACTACTTGAAATAAAACCTACAGAAATGAAAGTGAAACGAGTGCAAAGAGAAGCAAAGGGAACACAACGATATACATATATCTCAAAAGATGCAAAGACACTGATAAAAAATGACAATCAGACAGATCACATTGAATGATTCTGTTCTGAATGGATACAGTGTGTGTGTGTGTGTGTGTGTGTGCGTGTGTGTGTGTGTGTGTGTGTGTGTGTGCGCGTGTGTGTGTGTGTGTGTGTGTGTGTGTGTGTGTGTGCAGGTGTGTCCCTTTGTGTTCATCTTGAAATGGGAAGTGTGTAGAAATACATGTTCTGTCTTACTTCACATGTACAAATACGCCGCTTCCTCCTAAACGGCCACCTGGTTACACACACACACACACACACACACACACACACACACACACACACACACACACACACACACACACACACACACACACACACACACACACACACACACACACACACACACACACACACACACACACACACACACACACACACACACACACACACACACACACACACACACACACACACACACACCCTTTACTGTATAAATGACTAATCTGCCTAGATACAGTAAAGGTGGAGGAAGCAATTTAATTTTAGCAAGGTTCCTTATTGTTCTTTATTTACCTGCCTCTGATTAAGTTCTTCAGACTTTAGATATGAGCCTCTTAGCGTTATGAATAATTAGGGTTTGGAGGCACTTCCTTGTCTCACTTTATAAAAGCACTCTCTCTCTCCCATCTCACTCACTCCTGCTTCCCCTTTCTGAACTCAGTCGATCGCCCATCATGGGGAACTTCGCTGCCAATGAGGGACTCTCCATTTTTGTTATTGTGAGTAAATCTGTTTTTTATATATCATTTTTTCCCCCGGCATTATCTGCATTTATATCCTGTTAAATCAGTTTGTTCAAAGCATTGCTGTTTTTATATTCATGTGTTTATTAAAAACAACCATTTGTTGAATCGGATTTATATATAATCAGGTTTAAAGCTTATTCTTGGGGGCTTTTTATATGACTTTACTAATGTAGGGAATGACATTTAAATACATTATAAATAAATAAATATTACTATGAAATAACTCTTCAACTACCATTAATGAGGCAATAGAATAACTATTAAAATAAATGTTTATAAATAGATTAGGGTATTTCATATTAAGAAAAAGGTGTTTTGTTATTTTAGGTAATATTTATTTCATGGAAAATACTGTTTAATTAATTGAATTGAACTATATTGACTCATTTAGACATTTATTAATATTTAATATATTTATTTAGAATTTATTTTATTTTCTGTAAAATCTTCAAAATGTATTAAATGTATTATTTTAAATGAAAACGTGTTTCCTGTGTTTCCAGCTGGTGTGGCTGGGGATCAACGCCTTCCTGTTTGTGCATTTCTACATGGCCTTCCTGCTGGAGCGCTGGTTCTACACCCGAGTCCTGCTGGGGGTCAGTCCATCTTTTAGAGGGGTTTCTTTTCAAAAGTGCCATGAAGTCAAGTTCATTTAGGGAGCAGACGTCCATGTGATGCATTTACAGTCTGATATAAGGTGTACTTACAATCCAACTGTGATACAATAGGCAGAAACAATACACAGGTGTTTCCCAGGTGTATTTTAAGTTTCCTTACCGTTTACACCACAGTGTTTGCATGCTGTGTGTGTTTGACTATTGATTTTTATCAGGTGATTCATCTCTAAAACACGTCCACAGTAACTTCTCTTCCTCTCTTTCCACACCTGACCAGAGCCACAGCTGCCTGAGAGCAGAAGTGAAACAGCACATTCTTAAATGCCTTTCTATAAATATCAATGCATCTCTGCAGGAAGACAACGAGCATGTGTTCTTGTTACGGATCAGAGAGTGCTGTAAAGTAATCTGATTACCAGAGATGGGAAGTAGTGGAGTACAAATTCTTCGTTACTGTACTTAAGTATCTGGTATCAGTACTTTACTCCACTACTTATTTTTCTGATGACTTTTTACTTTGACTTCTTACATGTTGAACACAAATACCTGTACTTTCTACTTCTTACATGTTGAACACAAATACCTGTACTTTCTACTTCTTACATGTTGAACACAAATACCTGTACTTTCTACTTCTCACATGTTGAACACAAATACCTGTACTTTCTACTTCTCACATGTTGAACACAAATACCTGTACTTTCTACTTCTTACATGTTGAACACAAATACCTGTACTTTCTACTTCTTACATGTTGAACACAAATACCTGTACTTTCTACTTCTTACATTTTGAACTCAAATACCTGTACTTTCTACTTCTTACATTTTGAACACAAATACCTGTACTTTCTACTTCTTACATGTTGAACACAAATACCTGTACTTTCTACTTCTTACATGTTGAACACAAATACCTGTACTTTCTACTTCTTACATTTTGAACTCAAATACCTGTACTTTCTACTTCTTACATGTTGAACACAAATACCTGTACTTTCTACTTCTTACATGTTGAACACAAATACCTGTACTTTCTACTTCTTACATGTTGAACCCAAATACCTGTACTTTCTACTTCTTACATTTTGAACACAAATACCTGTACTTTCTACTTCTTACATGTTGAACACAAATACCTGTACTTTCTACTTCTTACATTTTGAACACAAATACCTGTACTTTCTACTTCTTACATGTTGAACACAAATACCTGTACTTTCTACTTCTTACATGTTGAACCCAAATACCTGTACTTTCTACTTCTTACATGTTGAACCCAAATACCTGTACTTTCTACTTCTCACATGTTGAACACAAATACCTGTACTTTCTACTTCTCTCATTTCCCAAACAGGCTGGTTCCTTTAGTTTGAATGTGTGTTTGGTGGCGTGATCATTATTATTTAGAGTCATTGCGTGCCTATTGATTTGAACACGATCCGTGTATCCATCATTTCCTGGTCTTCTCTAAAGAAGAGGGACCAATGAAAACGTTGTCATGTTGCCGTTGTTCAGCATGGAAACATTCATTAGCTAACAATGACATTATTGTTCTATTAATATAAAGGGAGGTCAGGTACTCTTTAAAACAGCTGCTAGTTATGGGTACTTTTTACTGAAGTACATTTCAAAGTTCTTTACTTTTACTTGAGTAAAGAAGTTTAGTCAGTACTTCTACTTTTACCAGAGTATTTTTAAACACGAGTATCTGTACTTCTACTTGAGTAAAGGATGTGTGTACTTTGCCCTCTCTGTGTAAAGTAATCTGATTACATGTTTCCCCTCAGCATGCTCTCTCGTGGGCTCGTGCTCCAGCTGCCTGTCTGAACTTTAACTGCATGCTCATCCTGCTGCCGGTGTGCAGGAACCTGCTGTCCTTCCTGAGAGGAACCATCCAGGTAAACAAGCATCTAGATAAATAAATCCAATGTGCAGCACGTGTTGTTATTATTTTAATATTGTTTCTCATTGTGGTTCTGTGTGTTTGTTCTCAGTGCTGCAGCCGCACCGCAGCTCGACAGCTGGATCGAAACATCACCTTCCACAAACTGGTGGCTTACATGATCGCCTTCCACACGGGTAATATATCAGTACTGGGAATCAGAAACACACACACTAGAGTTGGGGAGTCACATAGAGACGGCAAACAGCCCCAAAGAGTCACAAAACAGACCTAAAACTACCAAAGAGACCTAAAACTACCAAAGAGACACACACTGAGACCTAAAACTACCAAAGAGACCTAAAACGACCAAAGAGACACACACTGAGACCTAAAACGACCAAAGAGACACACACTGAGACCTAAAACTACTAAAGAGACACACACTGAGACCTAAAACTACTAAAGAGACACACACTGAGACCTAAAACTACTAAAGAGACACACACTGAGACCTAAAACTACCAAAGAGACCTAAAACTACTAAAGAGACACACACTGAGACCTAAAACTACTAAAGAGACCTAAAACTACCAAAGAGACCTAAAACTACCAAAGAGACACACACTGAGACCTAAAACTACCAAAGAGACCTAAAACTACTAAAGAGACACACACTGAGACCTAAAACTACCAAAGAGACCTAAAACTACCAAAGAGACCTAAAACTACCAAAGAGACACACACTGAGACCTAAAACTACTAAAGAGACACACACTGAGACCTAAAACTACCAAAGAGACCTAAAACGACCAAAGAGACACACACTGAGACCTAAAACTACTAAAGAGACACACACTGAGACCTAAAACGACCAAAGAGACACACACTGAGACCTAAAACTACCAAAGAGACACACACTGAGACCTAAAACTACTAAAGAGACACACACTGAGACCTAAAACTACCAAAGAGACCTAAAACTACCAAAGAGACACACACTGAGACCTAAAACTACTAAAGAGACACACACTGAGACCTAAAAGTACCAAAGAGACGCCAAATCACCAAATAGACATATCTGAAAAGCCAGCATCTAGAAAGACGTCTCTTAGGATCTGTGGCTCTTGTTCAGGGGGGAAAGGGCCCTTTGAACCCTTTAACTCTAAAACACACCCCCAGCAGCTCCTCAGCCCCATGACACCTGGATCACTGAACCTGGGGTACATTCAGACTAAAGTCTCTCTCCTCCTGCAGCCGTGCACATCATCGCCCACCTGTTCAACTTTGAGTACTTCATGGACGCTCAGCTGAACAGGAACAGCAGCTTCCTGCCCTTCGTCCTATCAGAGATCGGCTCAGGAGACAACGCCTCCTTCCTGAACCCCATCAGGACCAACGACACGGTGAGAAGACACACAGGAAGAAGTCTTTTTGCTTCCTCCTCTCCTCCCTTGTTCCCTATCGGTTTGCTCCTTAGTTTCTCCCCTTGCTTCCTCACTAATGGATGCACTTGTGTGTGTATTATCAGGTGTCAGGGTTCATCGAAGGACAGCCCTAATGAGATAATAATCACTATAATAAAAGACAGTTAGGTCTCTGCAGACTCAGATCTCTCCGATGGGATTCCTCCTCTGGTTTTCCGACCTCTTGTCTTTTATTTCTGAAAACCAGCAGCCCAAACCCAGTCACCTGATGCTTCGACTATTATTACCCATCGTTTGTCTCCGAGCCAGAATCAAAAGTCCTCTGTTGCTCAAATCTGTGAAACCCCTGCTGCTCTATCACCACAACAAATAGTATGACTTCATCCAACACACTTCCTCTGTGTCCTCAGATCTGTGGTCAGCCACTTCCTCTTTGCAAGTACTCTATTCATCTCCCATGCAGTTGAAAAGCACAAAGAAGGAGGCGTTGGGTCTTCTGTGTCACCAAAACATTAAATATGAAGCTGGCCGTCTCAATATTATTGTTTAAAATCAGTATGTAGTGTCTCTACTTTAAAGAGTCCTCTCCTGCTGATGTTCAGGTGTATATCAGTATGTAGTGTCTCTACTTTAAAGAGTCCTCTCCTGCTGATGTTCAGGTGTATATCAGTATGTAGTGTCTCTACTTTAAAGAGTCCTCTCCTGCTGATGTTCAGGTGTATATCAGTATGTAGTGTCTCTACTTTAAAGAGTCCTCTCCTGCTGATGTTCAGGTGTATATCAGTATGTAGTGTCTCTACTTTAAAGAGTCCTCTCCTGCTGATGTTCAGGTGTATATCAGTATGTAGTGTCTCTACTTTAAAGAGTCCTCTCCTGCTGATGTTCAGGTGTATATCAGTATGTAGTGTCTCTACTTTAAAGAGTCCTCTCCTACTGATGTTCAGGTGTATATCAGTATGTAGTGTCTCTACTTTAAAGAGTCCTCTCCTGCTGATGTTCAGGTGTATATCAGTATGTAGTGTCTCTACTTTAAAGAGTTCTCTCCTGCTGATGTTCAGGTGTATATCAGTATGTAGTGTCTCTACTTTAAAGAGTCCTCTCCTGCTGATGTTCAGGTGTATATCAGTATGTAGTGTCTCTACTTTAAAACAGCTGCTAGTTATGGGTACTTTTTACTTAAGTACATTTCAAAGCCCTCTTTACTTTTACTTGAGTAAAGAAGTTTAGTCAGTACTTCTACTTTTACCAGAGTATTTTTAAACATGAGTATGTGTACTTCTACTTGAGTACAGGATGTGTGTACTTCTACTTGAGTAAAGGATGTGTGTACTTCTACCTGAGTAAAGGATGTGTGTACTTCTACTTGAGTAAAGGATGTGTGTACTTCTACTTGAGTACAGGATGTGTGTACTTCTACTTGAGTACAGGATGTGTGTACTTCTACTTGAGTACAGGATGTGTGTACTTCTACTTGAGTACATGTGTGTACTCTCTGTAAAATGATGTGTTTCTGCAGAACCCCACCTTCGTGTTGTTCACCACCATCGCTGGAGTGACGGGCGTCGCCATCACGCTGGCTCTCATCCTCATCATCACGTCCTCCATGGAGGTGATCCGCCGCTCCTACTTCGAGGTGTTCTGGTACACACACCACCTCTTCATCATCTTCTTCATCGGGCTGGCGTTCCACGGCGCTGGGTAGGAGAACACCTGTTGATCCTCACCTGGGAAGATTGTCGTATACATTTAGATGTACATTTAGTTAATAAGTTCATAATTGAGTTTTTGGGAGAAAGGGTGGGATTAAATAAGTGTAAACTTCTCCCCCCCCCCTTTTCAGATGTAATTAGGTAGATCATTTGATTATATATCATTTGTAAGTCAATAATATTTTTGCTTACCAATTTAAGATAAGATAAGATAGGACTTTATTCATCCTGAAGGAAATAGTTGTGTCAGAGTTACAAAGACACAACAAACACAGCAGCACAATAATAAAACTGTACACTAACAGTAAAAAGAGCAATTCAATAACTCCAGGAAACACACGGTCACATCATTCATGTAAATATTAACAGTATTTAGGAGTGCAAAAGAACGTAGTGGCAGATACGTAATTGCACGTTATCAATTTGATACTGCTTAAGTTTGCACAGTATCAGAATTCTCTTGTTTCATTTTTTTGTATTATTGTTTTACACGTTTGAAATAAATGAAATGAGAATGTGTGTGCAGGCGCATCGTGCGGGGACAGACCTTCGACAGCCTGATCACCAACAAGCCGGAGGGGTGCTCCTCCAAGTTCGAGGAGTGGGGGAACGACAACGGATCCACCTGTGCTGTTCCCAGGTTTGCAGGAAACCCCCCGCAGGTGAGCTGCAAGGGCTCATGGGAAATACTCTGTTTTATTTGTAACCCACTCAAAGAATGCAGTGACTTTGTGTAAGTAGATAGCGGCTGAAAGACATTGGGTTTCACTGGGCTGGGTGTTGGTTTGTTGAAAGTGTTGTTATTTAGAAGGAACAATATGTTAACTTAAGATTGTGTTCTTTCTATTTATTTATTTTATTCTACTCCTCATTGAAAATAACCTTTTACATCAATCATTTTATTGGGTATGATTGACTGTTACTTAGCAATGTTACATATCGTTAAAATACTCACATGTTTCCATCTGTCTCCAGACGTGGAAGTGGGTCCTGGGCCCGATGATCCTGTACGTGTGTGAGAGGATCGTTCGCTTCTACCGCTCCAACCAGAAGGTCGTCATCACCAAGGTGTGTGTGTGTGTGTGTGTGTGTGTGTGTGTGTGTGTGTGTGTGTGTGTGTGTGTGTGTGTGTGTGTGTGTGTGTGTGTTGCAATAAAAGTGAATTGTTTTACACAAAAGCCTGTAAAGCAACAGAAACAACTCTATAAAACACTAAAAGTTGGCTTTATGAATTGACGAACCCTTAATGATACCAGCAGGTTGTCATCACCAAGGTGTGTGTGTGTGAGTGTTTGCTGCAATAAAAGTTGTTTTCACAAATGCCTGAGCAATGCAAGATAATGTTTTGAGATGTGCAAGTTATATAAGGCTGCTATGTTGATGCCAAAGTGTGTGTGTGTGTGTGTGTGTGTGTGTGTGTGTGTGTGTGTGTGTGTGTTTTACATGAATGCCTGTAAAGCAACAGAGAAAAAACTCTATAAAACACTTGAGTTGCCTTTTAGAATTGACGAATCCTTAATCCCCCCCCCCCAGGTGGTGATGCACCCCTCGAAGACCCTGGAGCTGCAGATGAAGAGGAAGGGCTTCCACATGGAGGTGGGGCAGTACGTGTTCATCCAGTGCCCCTCCGTCTCCAGGCTGGAGTGGCACCCCTTCACCCTGACCTCCGCCCCCGAGGAGGACTACTTCAGCGCCCACATCCGCATCGTGGGGGACTGGACGGAGGCGCTGCACGAGGCCTGCGCCGGGGACAAGACGCAGCCGCAGGACGCCTGGAAGCTGCCCAAGTACGACCAGCAGGGGGGGGGGAGCATAGAAAGGGGAGAGCGGGAGGAAAGTGCTGCTTTTAGCTCTGATTGCAGCCTCTGAGGAGCTGCTCTTAACAGCCTGGGGTTCATTGTGAGGCTGGAAGCGCACAGAAAATCTTAAATATCATCTCAATTACAATCAGATTCTCAGCAGGCTGCAAAAAGCCATGCGATATGGCCGAGTGCAACATCCAGTTGAGTTGAAAGGTCTACAGTAGACTTTGATTACAGGACTTTTAGCAGCATTTAAACACAGGTGACGTTATCTAAAAGGGTCTCGGGTCATTGTGATGATGGAAGTGAAGCTCTTACACATAGAGAATACTGGATCTTTATATATATATATATTCTGTCCTGTTTCTCTGTGTTTCTCAGGCTGGTTTTGAAGCCTCTGAGGAGCTGCTCTTAACAGCCTGGGGTTCATTGTGAGGCTGAAAGTGCACAGAAAGTCTTACAATATCATTTAAAATACAATCAGATTCTCAACAGGCTGCAAAAAGGCTGCTTTCTCACCCTAAATATGGTTGAGTGCAAAGTTGAAACGTCTACAGTTTGATTGCAGGACTTTTACCTGCATGTTTACACAGATTACCGTTATCTAAAAGGGTCTCGGGTCACTGTGATGATGGAAAGCTCGTACACTCTGAGAATCCTGAATATTGATATGTTTCTGTGTTTCCCAGGCTGGCGATAGACGGGCCGTTCGGCACGGCCAGCGAGGACGTGTTTGGGTACGAGGTGGTGATGCTGGTGGGAGCGGGCATCGGAGTGACTCCTTTCGCCTCCATCCTGAAGTCTGTGTGGTACAAACGCAACCAGAACAACCAGGACGTCTTCACCAAGAAGGTGGGAGGAGGACAAATACTTCCTTACTGTACTTAAGTACATCTTTCTGGTATCAGTACTTTACTCCACTACTTATTACTTCTTACATGTTGAACCCAAATACCTGTACTTTCTACTTCTTACATTTTGAACACAAATACCTGTACTTTCTACTTCTTACATTTTGAACACTAATACCTGTACTTTCTACTTCTCACATTTTGAACACAAATACCTGTACTTTCTACTTCTTACATGTTGAACCCAAATACCTGTACTTTCTACTTCTTACATGTTGAACCCAAATACCTGTACTTTCTACTTCTTACATTTTGAACCCAAATACCTGTACTTTCTACTTCTTACATGTTGAACACAAATACCTGTACTTTCTACTTCTTACATTTTGAACCCAAATACCTGTACTTTCTACTTCTTACATGTTGAACACAAATACCTGTACTTTCTACTTCTTACATGTTGAACTCAAATACCTGTACTTTCTACTTCTCACATTTCCCAAACAGGCTGGTTCCTTTAGTTTGAATGTGTGTTTGGTGGCGTGATCATTATTATTTAGAGTCATTGCGTGCCTATTGATTTGAACACGATCCGTGTATCCATCATTTCCTGGTCTTCTCTAAAGAAGAGGGACCAATGAAAACGTTGTCATGTTGCCGTTGTTCAGCATGGAAACATTCATTAGCTAACAATGACATTATTGTTCTATTAATATAAAGGGAGGTCAGGTACTCTTTAAAACAGCTGCTAGTTATGGGTACTTTTTACTGAAGTACATTTCAAAGTTCTTTACTTTTACTTGAGTAAAGAAGTTTAGTCAGTACTTCTACTTTCACCAGAGTATTTTTAAACACGAGTATCTGTACTTCTACTTGAGTAAAGGATGTGTGTACTTTGCCCTCTCTGGGGGTCAGGGAAGAAGTTTCACGTTATAAAAATCAGTGTTTTTCTGGTCGTCTGATAGAATGAATAACATCTTTCATCCGGTGGAAAGTTAGAGTGAAAAGGGAGCAAGTTCTCAGAAGTGTTTGGTAAAAATGTGTCTTAAAACGGGATAAAAAACAACTTCCGAAAGCTTCTGGTAAACATGTGTAAAGGGGAACCGTTGTGAGAAAGCGCTGTAGGACTTTCACCGTTTCTTAGGAGAGGACTTCCGTCTGAGTTCCTCGTAAGCGTGTTGATGTTTCTCGTGAATGCTCCCCTTTGTTCTCTTACATTTTACAAGTATTCTTTCCAGGAATATAACGTCCCTCTGGCGTTGCAATTGTATTTGTGTCCCCTCTTCAATGGCCCTATTATGCCTTGTTATGAAACGCACCAATCACAGTCCAAGGTGTAGTCATAGACCTTTTAATTCATCACTTTAAACTCAATGTGTGGAAAGCATCTCCTCTCTTTCTGTACTTTGGAAACAGTCCTATTTTAGTTTTTCGGGTGGTGCAACCATTAGCCAATCACAACCAAGGTAACCCCCCCTCCACCTTATCACCTGAATCTCCTCCTAGAGCACCATTGTGTTTTTTTAAACCAATCATCTCTCAGAGGGGCGTGGCCAGCAGCAGCTCATTAGCATTTAAAGCTACAGACAGAGAATCAGCACTTTTGGAACAGGGCTGAAACAGAGGGGATTATGGGATGCTGCAATGATCTGTTGGGTGTTTCAGCCAATCAGAGACAGGTTCTGGATATATCTGTCTATGTTTCCACATTAAATGAGACCCCCTGCCCCCCCTCAGATCTACTTCTACTGGCTGTGTCCGGAGACCCAGGCCTTCGAGTGGTTTGCTGACCTGCTGCAGTCTCTGGAGGCTCAGATGACGGAGAAGGGCGTGACGGACTTCCTGAGTTACAACATCTACCTGACGCGCTGGAAGGAGACTGAGGTGACGTCTACATCCTTTACTCAAGTAGAAGTACACATACTCGTGTTTACAAACACTCTGGTGAAAGTAGAAGTACTGACTAAACTTCTTTACTCAAGTAGAAGTACAGATACTCTTGTTTAAAAATACTCTGGTAAAAGTAGAAGTACTGACTAAACTTCTTTACTCAAGTAAAAGTAAAGAACTTTGAAATGTACTTCAGTAAAAAGTACCCATAACTAGCAGCTGTTTTAAAGAGTACCTGACCTCCCTTTATATTAATAGAACAATAATGTCATTGTGCTATATAAATAAAGCTTTAATATTATTATTATTATTGGTGTTTTCTCCCGTCAGGCGGCTCACTTCCGCGTTCACCACGAGGCGGAGAACGATCCAATCACAGGCCTCAAACAGAAGACTCTCTACGGGAAACCCAACTGGGACAATGAGTTCGGCAACGTGGCAGCAAAGCACCCTGGGTAAGGCTCTTTGTCACCTTATCACACTGTACACACACTCTGGACACACACAAAAACAATAGGCCCCTGGGCACAGACACACAAAAGGGCCCAACGCCTCTCCTGTTGTTTTGCCTGTGGTCATTTCCTGTCTCTTTCTGGTTGTTTTACGTCTCTTCGTAGTTGTTTTGACTCTCTTTGTGGTTATGTTTTGACCTATCGTAGACCTTGTGCATGTTTTCTGTCTCTTTTTGTTGTTTTGGGGTTTTTCGCTGCTTATTTTCTATCGTTTTATGTCTCCGTGTAGTTTTTGTGTGTCTCTGTAATCATCCTGCTCATTTTGTCTCTGTTATACTTATATGTCTCGGTGGTTGTATTGATCTTCAACATCAGGATCCATGTATCTCTGATGCTCTCCAGAATGGAAGGAGTCATCACATACAGAGCATCAACTAGTTCCTGAACAGTGTCCTTCACATGCTGATATCCAAGAGAGGGAGTTACACAGTCACAAGATGGAGGAATAGAAAGCAGTATTCAATGTTTACTTCAGATTAGCTCCACGTCAGAAATGAGCATGCTTGTCATATGTCTATCTCCATAGAGGCTGAATCATCATGTTAATCACATAGCTATCATATGCCTCAAACAGTGAGTCACGGTGCTCTTTAATCACACATCCTTCCACACACACTTGGTCTTGAAAGAGCACATTCATTACTTTCCCAACAGCGGTTCATTTGCTTCTTTTCATAAAGTTCTATTTGAATCTCTGAGCAAATTGAGTCATGACTTCTCTCCCCATGACTGCTGCATTAAACTGAATAACTCTGTGTCCTCAGGACTAAAGTGGGGGTGTTTCTGTGCGGCCCCCCCCAGCTGGGGAAGTCTCTGGAGAAACAGAGTCTGTCTCACACCGAGGGCGACGTAAAGTTCATCTTCAACAAGGAGAACTTCTAACTTCTCCTCGTTCATGTGAGGAGTCAAAGTGTCGCCACAGACGTTTGGCAAAGACGCCGCTGTTGCTCAAACCGTGGAGGAAATACCCCGAGGCGTTTTCCACATTACATTCTTCTCCTTTTGCTACTTCAACATTTCAAACCACTGCTAGTTTCAAAACCTGCCTTCTCTTTTGCATTTGGTTTCCTGTTTGCTGCGAGGAGGAGCAGGTCTATCGTTTCTGAAAGAACTTGAGAGGAAAGGAAATGCTAAATGGCCCTGGAGCAAGGCATTAAAGCAGCTTCAGTGTGAGGCATACAAACAACCAGGAAGTGAAGCAGCATCACGTACCACTTGTTACATCTTCTTGCTTGTGTGTTGCTTTTCTTTATTTAAACAAGTTTCAACTCAACTGTATCTACTGGACAGAGACTCTTCAAATGGATAACTAGCCTCCTTCTGTGTGATCGTGTCTGAATAATAACAGAGACTGAAGTTTTAACTAAATGAAATGGCTGTAATTTATTTTATGTATCAAATATATTCAGACCAAAAAGTGTGTACTGTGTGTCCAGTCTGTTTCACATCATCGCACACTGAATGTATTCGTTTCTTTATCAGACAGAACATTTGAAGGTGTCGCCTTGGACTCAGTGTGCACCCCGGGGTTTGGGGAATTTCCTTTTTTGGTAATAAACCTGAACTCTCGGAGCGGTTTGGTTTGGTTGCGTTAAAGGATTTTGTAACTTGTGTAAACAGAAATGGGAACCGTCGTCTCAGACAGAGGACTTTCTCTCACTTCAGTACACATTTGAGATACTTGCAGAACATACAAGTAACTTCATATTGCACTGAAGTAGAGTATCTGAGTATTTACTGTACATTTACAAACACAAGTGAATCTGAAAAATGGCACAAAACTGAGGAACAACAATGGATGAATAAAATAATGGAATAAATAAGCAGTTTCTCTTGAAGTGTGTGTGACTTTATTCATTTCAGATAAATGACTGAACACTGTAATGCGCTCATAAACGTCTTCATGTTTATTTTCGTGCAGCAGAACCCGAGTACAAAATCTCTCTCTTGTTGACATGATAACAAACATCAGAAAACACAGAAGAAGAAGAATGCTAACAGCTGCTGCTAACTCCTAAAGCGCCGCAGTGACATGAGAGGATAAATATTTTGAGTGCATACATCTGGAGGACACAGCTGGGTTTCTGCAGATGGACACATGGCACTCCGTCGCCCCCTGCTGTTCACAGGAACACACTGCACTCTCTGGTGGTGCTTGTTTATATGTGTGTGTGAGTAATGTGTGTGTGTGTGTGTGTGTCCTATGCGATAGCCACAGCAAACACACTGACCACGCAGTACATGGTGCGGTTCTCCCATCTCACCGTGCTGCTTCCTGAAGAGACAAACAAGGACATGAAGGAAAACAGACTGTTAGCCAGTGTTTGGTTTTTAGAAGAAAGGCCACCTAATCTGTAGTCAGAGTATAAAAGACTACAATTCCCACGGCAGTGATGGGCAACCTGTCAGAGAGACGCTGGTTCAATTACCCTTTGAGTTATAGAAGCCTTAACAAGACAGAAAGAATACCTAAGAGTTTTGACTATTGTAAAGGACTCTTTTCTTTGTGTGTGTAAAAGTTTGTTATTTTATTTTGAGCACACACATCATGTAACATCTTCCAAACCATCGGAGGTCGAGCAACTCTTCAACTGTAAGTACCACAAAGATAAAGGAAAGAAAACTAGTTAAAAAGGCGTCTTGATCGAAACACAAGGCCACGACACAGACCTTAGAAATACATTTATATAGATAAACAAATGACGTTCATGAGGCTACAGATGTCAAAGTGAGGGGCTTTAGAGGGGCTTTAGAGGGGCTTTAGAGGGGAAACTCTGCCTGCCGCAGTGTTCATTTTGATAATAAAAACTATGACGAAATGTATATTTTGTTTTCGTTGACGAGACGGGACTAAGGTGTTAATGGTGGACTATCGGACATTCAAAATGCAGGATATTTCCCCCCAATTGTCCGTCTTGTCTGTCAAAATGCATCCCTGTGATTGGTTGAATTAGTTGGGATTCTGGGAATCTGCACACGTCACTCTATTACACAAGTAAAGTGTCAAGAATTTCAACACTACTGTCACCTTGATTCCCATTTCAGATCCTTGTATTTAACTGAATTAGTTTAAAGAGAGGAAACATTTTGACTGAAATGTAATGATTTTTCATCGACTAAAACTGGACTAAAGCTATGAAGGATAAAAAGGACTAAAATGTGACTAAAACTAATAACCATTTTCGTCTAAAGACTAAGACTAAATCTAAAATAGCTGCCAAAATGAACACTGGCCTACCGTCCATGGTGGTGTCCCAGTAGCAGGAGTTGGCTGTGTGGAGCCCGGCGCCTGTTTTCTGCATCACTGCACACGTCACTGTGAGAAGACACAAAGACAGATATATACAGAAAGAATAATCCATCTTCTGTCGGACAAGAGGAGAGGAAACATCCCACATCGAGGAGTTTATTCCCCTAATGTTGTCTATGTTTCATCGTGATAAGATAAGATAAGATAAGATGGACCTTTATTAATATCGTGGGGAAATTCAGGCGTTGAAACGAATGAAAAACAGCACAGATTCACACAGATTAAAGATTAATACAATTAAAGATCAAATCTAAATTATATACAGTTAAGTAACTTTTCAAATAAGAAATGAATGAAATGAACATATATACATATTTGGGTCATATATATATATATTAAATATATCTACATGTTTGACCCTGCAGCGTACGATACGATACGATACGATGATACTTTAATGGTCAGATGAAGTCTGAGATGCTCCTTGCATCACAGCAGCTCCATGTGTGACATCAAGATACATGAGAAACAAACATGTGACATAACATCAGGATCAGTGAGAGATGCTCAAAGAGCCTTCAGCGTGCATCTGATCTGTAGCTCTGTGTTCACTGACTGGAGCACAAAGGATGCTTCAGGCTGACTTTAGTGAACCGTGGGACCCTGTATCTCCCATTAGATAATTGTCTAAGTGTTATGGTGATATCTACATGTTTGACCGTGCAGTGTGAACACAGACATGCTCAACGTACCGATGTACTTGTAGGGCTTCCCCTGTTTCACCAGCTGTGTGAGGCAGCGCTCCACGATGCCCGCCGTCCATTTGTTCACCAAACTCTGGCTGTAGTCGTCATTTCCCACCACCCCCTCGATACACTGAGACACACACACACACACCACACACACACACACACACACACACACACACACACACACACACACACACACACACACACACACACACACACACCACACACACACACACACACACCACACACACACACACACACCACACACACACACACACACACACACACACACACACACACACACACACACACACACACACACACACCACACACACACACACACACACACACACACACACACACACACACACACACACACACACACACACACACACACACACACACACACACGAGAGATAACAGTCATGAGGAAGTCACCGGGTGCTGTTTCAGCCCGAGGAAACTGGGAAACAATACAGCGTAGGAGCCTATTTAAACATAAGAATAGTTGATGTTAGAAGGGTAATCGTTACCTCTTTCACAATGTTATCCGCCTCTTCAGAGTGGAAAGAGCTCTGAAAACGACAGACAATGCAGGTTATCATTTATATCAGATGGTTTTTCAGCATTCTCATTAAAAACCACTGAAAAATAACATTCAATCACCACTGTAGCCTGATTTATAGTATGCCATTATGATCTAAGGACATCTTACATATGGGTATAAAGCATTTTCTAATTGTATTAATGAAACTGTATTTCCCTGATTATACAAACATACTGTTTCTGAAGTAACACTTTCACTGCATGACTTTTAGTTAAACAAAGCAGTGTTTTATTATATATATTATTGAAGTTAAGGGATCACTGACAAACATATTACAACAGCTAGCTATCATTTAAAACAGAATTAGTACAGTTAGGTATAATCTCACTTTCAGCACCCTGCTACCTAACATTATTACCAAGTCTTAGCTTATTCTGGATATTCTATACAGTGTTTTAAAATGATTTTAAACCGAAATACTTCAAAAATCATCTTTAGGAGTGGCTAGCTCAGGCTGCTAGCTCAGGCTGCTAGCTCGCTCCAAGCTAGATAATGTCCACAGAAATGTATACAAATACGCAGATAATTGGCATACAACGGGACAAACCTCGCTGCCGCTGTGGTATTCCTCCATTGCTGTCATGTAGAGCGGGTTAAGTCGTAGCAGAGTAGTTTTTTTAGTCAGAAAAAGACGAATAAATGAGATTGAAGTGAATCACAGCTTCCTGCGGGCTGTCAACAAAGACCGGAATAAAAAGCCACGAAGAAGAACTAGCAGAGCGTGACGCCTGGTGGTGGAAACACGGAACTGCTTTACAACGTTAAATCACTACTGGCGCTGCTCGAGGTTATTCGATTTAAACTTACCCCAAAAGGTAGAAAGAAAGACATATTAAAACATAACCTATGTAATGTTTTCTTTGATAGTACTTCATAAATATAGGTTTTAGACTTACATCTGAGACGAACATGTGACCGTCAGCAACTGCTTCTTCTTCTTCTACGTTTATTTAATGGTCTTTTGTTGACATTCTAGTACTTTAGTAAGAGTAGAAGTACTCAGATATTGTAGTAAAAGTGGAAGTACTCAGATCTTGTACTTGAGTAAAAGTAGAAGTACTCAGGCCTTGTACTTGAGTAAAAGTAGAAGTACTCAGATCTTGTACTTGAGTAAAAGTAGAAGTACTCAGGTCTTGTACTTGAGTAAAAGTAGAAGTACTCAGGTCTTGTACTTGAGTAAAAGTAGAAGTACTCAGATCTTGTACTTGAGTAAAAGTAGAAGTACTCAGGTCTTGTACTTGAGTAAAAGTAGAAGTACTCAGATCTTGTTCTTGAGTAAAAGTAGAAGTACTCAGATCTTGTACTTGAGTAAAAGTAGAAGTACTCAGGCCTTGTACTTGAGTAAAAGTAGAAGTACTCAGATCTTGTTCTTGAGTAAAAGTAGAAGTACCAGAGTGTAGGAATACTCTGTTACAGTAAAAGCCCTGCATTCAAAATGTTCCTCAAGTAAAAGTAGAAAAGTATTATCATCAAAATATAGTGAAAGTAGCGACAGTAAAAGTAGTCATTGTGCAGATTGGTCCATTTCAGAATAATATATATGATATGTTTTATAATGATTGATCATGAAAGTGTTCTCAAAGCTGGTAAAGGTGCAGCTAGTTTGAATGACTTTGTATACTGCAGGGTAGCTTGTGGATTTACTCCAGGTGGAACTAAAGTCTGATTTAACACTTGATTATATTTCACATCATTCATCCACATCTGTGAAGTAACTAAAGGTATTCAATACATGTAGTGGAGGAAAAGTACACCATGTACCTCTGAACTGTAGTGGAGTAGAAGTGTGAAGTAAAGTACCTCAACATTGTACTTAAGAACAGTACTTGAGTAAATGTACTTAGTTACTTTACAACTCTGCTATTAGTAAACAAATAGGCTTTTTATGTTCAGCTCCGTATCAAAAGGTTTTATTGATATCACAAAAATCCAACAGGTAAAAAAAACAGTTGAAATGAGATGATCATATCAGGATATAAAACCGATGCATCTCTCTTTCAAACAGATCACATCAAAAAGTGCAAATGTGCTCATGGACCACGTCAAAATAAATACGATTATATACATCTTTAAAAACATCACACACACACACACACTGGAGGCTCAGGTAGGAAGTATGTGCCACACGATAGTTGAACAACGCCCAGCTGTAGGTCACTTGTGAAGAGATAGTGGTTGATTAAAATATCTAATATAAAGCTTTCTTCGTAAATAAGATCCTTAAAGGAGTAATCCACGTAACATAATATAATAAAGTCACACACGCATCATCTGCAGGAGGCTTTTATGCAGGTTTGTACGTGTGTTTCGTGCTTTTTCAGTGGAGGTTCCCTTTAGACACCGTGCAGTGTTTTACCGCCCTCTGATCCTGAAGATGGAATAAAGTGGTATTTTGCGTCCTCACAGTCTCTGTTGTGTTTTCAGACTGGGACGACGACTATAATCTCAGAGGATGTCCATCGCTTGTTCTAGTAGTATTGAGGAGTGCAGAAGACCGTAGTGGCAGATACGTAATTGCACGTTAATAATATTGCACATGTTATATAGCAGTGTGTTTTTTTACCATCATTACAAAACACTCTCTGCTATATAACATGTGCAATAATGTTCTATGATAACGTGCAATTACGTATCTGCCACTACGGTTTTCTGCACTACTCAATACTGCTAATATTTACATTCATTGTGTGACCGTCTTTGTTTCCTGTAGTTATTGAATTGCTCTTGTTAGTGCACAGTTGTATTATTATGCTGCTGTGTTTATTGTATCTTTGTAACTCTGGCACACCAATTTCCTTCGGGTTAAATAAAGTCCTATCTTATCTTATCTCTTAAAACAATGTCATTATAGTTAAATGTGCATTTTATTTAACCGTCCTGTCGTAGAAAATCTGATGAGGATGGATGAGTACTTGTCCACCATGTACAGCGACCTTGGGTCCTGTGAAAGGCGCTTTATAAATTCCATTTATTATTATTATTATTATTATAACATCCATCTGTTTGCACCTATTGATCTAATATATCATATTCCAATGACTTGTATAGACTCTCCTTGCACTATTTCTCTCTAGTTCTTCTAAATAGTGCGTTGTTTATGGTCTTTTGTCATGAGGTGACTTTGCAAACTGGCCGGTGAGCCCTCGTCTTTATTTTGGATTCATTAAAACATCATCTTGTGGCTTCACAAATCAGTTTCCTCTCTCTCGGTTATTTGTATATTTTGTTACTTCCCTTTGAACCCCTAGTTTAGGAGGGAACAATTGACTTGCACTATTTGATCTGTTTTATTGTGTTGCACTGTTGGAGGAGGAGCCTAAGATCTTCATTGACATAACTACACTGTAGCTCTGTGCAAATGACAATAAAAGCCTTGAACTTGAATCTTGTTAGACATCAGGGTGAGTTTGGGGACCCCTGAGAGTTGTTTCTCGGGGTCACAGCAGGGTGCAGGCTCCAGAGCGAGGGCTTCTGGAGGGAACAGACTTCTGACTTCTCGTTGTTTCCTCTGGTTCTTCAGGAGCTCCAGAGGGAGGCTCTCCTTTGACCCCGGCCTCCCCGCTGACGGTGCTCCCTGCTGGGGTCGGGTCTCTGTCGATGCTCTGCTTCGACCTGGAGAAGGAGAGCCGTCTGAAGAGAGAGAGCTGAGAGAAGGAGGACATTAGTCTGTCATTTAATCTGCTAAATACTTTATCCATTTAGCATCTCAGAAAATAGTGAATCCATTACAGTTTCTAAAGTCCAAGGTGACGGTTTTAAATGGTTACATTTCACTTAACGCAGCACCTAGTGTGTCTAAAAACAACCTGCTGTTCTTTAGTTAATAGGATCTCATACTGTACCTTTTTGCTGGTTGCTGATTGGCTGTTGGAGTTGCTTTCCGTCGTCCCATTGGCCGGTTTTTCTTCACTTGTGCTGTCGGGCTTCTCTGTGATTTCAGCTGTTGTGGAAATCAGACAGTTATTAAGTCTGTTATTATTGTATCTAAACATTTATTAATTTTCAGTTATATAATCCATGACCTGTGTATTCTGGATTCACACTTTATTTCTGACTATATATACGAGTTATTGAAAATATGTGTTGTTTATAATGTCTTTAGTGAGGAACAACGGGTTAAGTGTTATATATATATAATGTTCTCTAGCAGCGCTCACCTGTCTGCTCAGGTGTGGATTCTTTCGGCAGCTCTTCAGGCTTCTGGAAAGATCCGATCACGTCAACACGATAATAATAAAGAAATATTGGACATTTGAAGTGTCTCTGCAGACTTACATCACTCTGAGTGTCCTCTATCCGCCCCTCTGTGGACTCAAAACTCGACGACGCTCCCTCTGTCTCCGCGGATGTATCTTCATCCTCTTCTACTTCCTCCTCTACTTCCTCTTCACCTTTGCTCCACGTCTGAGCAAATCCTTTGATCAAATCCTGACAGAAAGAGTGAATTAGAGACATTCAATGATCAGTATAATCAAACAACTCATAGTTAAAGAACAGGGAGAGACACTACAGGCTAAATATATATTTTTTAAAGCAGTTTTGGAAACTTTTAGGTGTTTTTCTGCCATAGATGTCTTAAAAAATCCACATTTAGGAGATTATTTGAGTAGCTTTGGGTCTTTAGATGTCTCCTTAACTCACCAGGAGCGAGCATTACGCCTCATTGGCAAAGGTACATTTTGTATTTACCTGTAGTGTCTTCCCAATACTTCAGTTCAACTATAACTAATCAATTACTGTAGGGAAGGGTCAATAGGGGAAAGGAGGAACAGGATGCAGGGAAGGACACACAGAGGGATTCAAACACCAAGATGTGACGGGAGAATGAAAAAGAAGCCCACCTGAAACACTCAACACAACTGGATGGAAAATAGAAAAGCAACAGACATGATGACGGTGCATTTGCATTTCCTTTGATTGGATTTACTGATATATCAGGGATCTAAACCTATGTCTTAATTCAAAACAACACAAAAAAGATCATTGAAATAAAACACAGTTATTTATTACAAACAGAAATGAGTAAAAACAGACAATGGGAATTCCACATATATAGAATAATAAATAAAGAGTATAAAATAAACAATGTGATGACATAGGAAGAGGGTTCGAGCCACATTTAAATAAAAACAAACATGAGATGAGTTTTAGTGAAAGCAGATAGTGGATAAGAGAGAGAGCTATAAGGCTGTGATAACGGCTCCCGGAGTGGGTAGGTCTGCGGACGAAACGCTTGCGGCTCCGTGTGTACGCCCTATACGATCATTTCCTGATAACGATGACGCCATAGCCCCGCCTCTCCCCACCTCTGCTGCTCACCCCTGCGTCACCTGCGTCATTGCTGATGTGTTTCGCCAACAACAACAACAACAATGGCGGATCACAGGGTTGCGTTCGTGCTCCAGACGCTACGGACCATCATACAGATGTTAGTGCAAAATCTACAGCTCCTCGACCACAACCATCAGCAACAAGTGGACATGGAGAACTACATGAACTCCATGTTGCTAAATCTACCAAGGAGAATAAACAGAAGGGTAACCAGGCAACCATGCTCTGGGGTCTTCTTCGCTGCTTTTGGAGTATTTTGTGGCGGAAGTACAGCGCCACTTACAGGCCCAGCATATGTACTACAGCGTCTCCAGCGGGTCGAGCGGTCTCGTGTGGACGGAAGACTTTTTTGCAAACGACTACGGTTCGTCTCCGTGTGGACGGGGCCTAATACAACTTCATGATTGGATTTAAAACATTTTAAATGCAGCTTAATATTTGTTTAAAGGGGACCTATCATGCAAAATGCACTTTTGTACGTCTTTTCTACATGAATATGTGTCCCCGGTGTTCCAGGGAACTCACCAAGTGTCAGAAAACACAACCCTCTCTATTTTCCTCCATACCCAAATCTCTAAAAAAGGGGCTGCAACGGATCTGATAAAAACTGATCCAGATTTGAACACTGTCCTGACGTCAGGACGGTGGCGCTACGGCTATTGGGCCAACTCCACCAATCAGGAGGAGACAGCCACGGCCATTGCCGTTCGAAAGCGCTGGAGACGCTGTAGTACATATGCCAGGCCTGTAGGTGGTGCTGTTCTCACAGAATCTGCCCTTGCTAAAACAGAGCTAACATTTTTCAAATTGAGCGAAATGAGGCATGGCTAAAATGCATAAAAGTATAAATATGCCTTATATAGGTATGGTCCTACACTATATTATTACAATATAGCATGATAGGTCCACTTTAAGTTTGTTGTTTGGTGAATCCAACTGTGATGGTGCAGCGCTCGATGGTGCAGCGCTCGATGGTGCAGCGCTCGATGGTGCATGGTTGTTTGCTCATACTGCCTGTTACGCAGCACACACTCTGTTCTGATTGGTCGACCTGCTTAGAGATGTCCCGCCCCCTTAGCCTATCACGCACAATGTGTTGGAGCGCTAGCCAATAGGAGTGTTCCATCTATGGATCAGTGATCGATGGCTGGATGAAGATCACAGTCTTCCTCAGAGTTACTTCAGGTTGAGGTACTGTGGCAGCACGTCGTCCCAGAACTCCTCTTCCTCGTCTGCCGCCTGACCTTTGACCCCCGACCTCTGTCTGCTCCTGGGTTTACCTCTCTGGACTTCAGCTGACTTTGTCTTTTTGACAACCTCTTCCTCCTCTTCATCCTCCTCTTCCTCCTCTTCCTTCTCATCTTTTTCTCCCTCCTCCTCCTCTTCCTCTCCTCCCTCTGTCTCACTTTCTTCATCACTCCCTTCTCCCTCCTCTTCCTCTCCTCCCTCTCTCTCACTTTCTTCATCACTCCCTTCTCCCTCCTCTTCCTCTCCTCCCTCTGTCTCACTTTCTTCATCACTCCCTTCTCCCTCCTCTTCCTCCTCCTCCCTCTTCTCACTTTCTCATCACTCCCTTCTCCTCCTCTTCCTCTCCTCTCCTCCCTCTCTCTCACTTTCTTCATCACTCCCTTCTCCCTCCTCTTCCTCTCTCCCTCTCTCTCCCTTTCTTCATCACTCCTTCTCCCTCCTCTTCCTCTCTCTCCCTTTCTTTTCTTCATCTCCCTTCTCCCTCCTCTTCCTCCTCCCTCCCTCGTCTCCTTTCTCCCTTTCTCTCCTCTCCTTCTCCCTCCTCTCCTCTCCTCCCTCTCTCTCACTTTCTTCACTCCTCTCCCTTCTCTCTCCTTCTTCCTCTCCTCCCTCTCCTCTCCCTTTCTTCCTCCCTATCCCCTTCTCCCTCCTCTTCTCCCCTCTTCTCACTTCTCCTTCTCCCTCCTCTTCTCTCCTCCCTCTGTCTCACTTCCTTCTCCCTCCTCCTCTGAAGACTTCAAGGTCTCACTTTCTCCCTCCTTCCTCTCCCTCCCTTGTCTCAACTTTCTTCTCATTCATCACTCCCTTCTCCCTCCTCTTCTCCCTCTGTCTCACTTCCTTCTCCCTCCTCCTCATCTTCCTCTCCTCCCTCTGTCTCACTTCCTTCTCCCTCCTCTTGCTCCTCTTCTGAAGACTTCAAGGTCTCACTTTCTCCCTCCTCTTCCTCACTCTCACTCTCCCAAATCCCCCTCCTCTTCCTCCTCACTTTCAGACTCTCTTCCTGCGCTCTCTGTCTCATTACTCGACCCTTCCTCTTCCTCAGCACTGCTCTTATCTTCGTCTTCATCATCCTCTGTTTGAAGTGTGTTGCCGTCTTCTTCTTCTTCTTGATCCACGCTGTGACTGACTTCCTCTTCCTCATCCTTACTCACCTCCTCTCCTTCATCAGTCTCCTCCTCTGGTTGAAGAGTGTTGCTGTCCTCTTCATCATCTTCTGTCACCTTCTCCACGCTGTGACTGACTTCCTCTCCTTCCTCCTCTCCCTCTTCCTCTCTCTCCTCCTGACTTGTTTCCTTGCCTCCTTCAGGACTCTGAGGGATGATGTTGATGCTCACGGCTGATTTGTTTCTATAATCTTCATCGTGAGACTCAGACCGTGTCCTCTGCTCCGTCAGCACGCCGCTGACGCTCTCTGATAAAGATGGCCATGGTGAATTCAAACCTCTGGACGCCACCTGGTGCATTATCAGCGCCCCCGCTGCGATGGAGGCGGCTCCAGCGACGAGGCCCAGCTTTGACGCCTTTTTCGGAGTTCCCTCCCCAACTTCCGCCTTCGCCTCCTTTTGGTTTTTCTCGTTCTTAGATTTCTTCGATAAGTCTTTACCCTCTTTAGATTTGGACCTGACCTCCGATAGACTCTCCTGCTCATTCAGATGAAACACCTGTGTGTGTGGAGAGCTAACACTTTGCACCGCGATGGGTTTTCTTTGGACAGCTTTAATCTCCCTGGCGACCTCCATCAGCGTGTTTTCCCCCGGAGTCGGTCGGAGTCGCTGTTTGGACGCCGCCTTCCTAATGTCCGCGATGTTCTTGTTTTTACCGGGTCTCTGCAGCTCCTCCATGGCCAGGACCAGGTTCTCCTTGTTCTGACTGAGAGTAGTCCCCGGGTTCCTCAGCAGCTCCGTGGGTAACGCCCGGCGAGGAGAAACCGCTTTGCTCTCACGAGAAGAGAAACGACTGATCTTAATCTGATCTTTAGAGCTCTTACCCTTCCGCTATCCGTCAGAAAGCAGCGTGAGAAAGAGGCATGCGTTAGAGAGGAAGAGAGACATGCAGGACAAACAGAGAGGACAAGAGTACACACCTTTACTCAAGTAGAAGTACACACATCCTTTACTCAAGTAGAAGTACACATACTCGTGTTTAAAAAATACTCTGGTGAAAGTAGAAGTACTGACTAAACTTCTTTACTCAAGTAAAAGTAAAGAACTTTGAAATGTACTTCAGTAAAAAGTACCCATAACTAGCAGCTGTTTGAAAGAGTACCTGACCTCCCTTTATATTAATAGAACAATAATGTCATTGTTAGCTAATGAATGTTTCCATGCTGAACAACGGCAACATGACAACGTTTTCATTGGTCCCTCTTCTTTAGAGAAGACCAGGAAATGATGGATACACGGATCGTGTTCAAATCAATAGGCACGCAATGACTCTAAATAATAATGATCACGCCACCAAACACACATTCAAACTAAAGGAACCAGCCTGTTTGGGAAATGTGAGAAGTAGAAAGTACAGGTATTTGGGTTCAACATGTAAGAAGTAGAAAGTTCAGGTATTTGTGTTCAACATGTAAGAAGTAGAAAGTTCAGGTATTTGTGTTCAACATGTAAGAAGTAGAAAGTACAGGTATTTGTGTTCAACATGTAAGAAGTAGAAAGTACAGGTATTTGTGTTCAACATGTAAGAAGTAGAAAGTACAGGTATTTGTGTTCAACATGTAAGAAGTAGAAAGTTCAGGTGTTTGAAAAATAAGTTTTGGAGTAAAGTACTGATACCAGAAACATGAAAGCTGCTCCATAAATAATAATTCTGCTGTGGCTAAAAACACCTCAGATATCCACCAGGTGAAGGAGAACCTCTCCGTGTTTGAGCCAATGAGAGGAGAGAGATTGAAAAGATTTACCTTCTGAACCGGAGACAGAGTGAGGGATTTATCACCGGCGTCCATCTTCATCACGTGAGTCTGTCAGGAGGGAAAAGGAGGAACATTAGCATCCTCAGATCCTCAGGGTGCGTTCACTGACACTCTTTCTTGTTAAAAAATAATTCATTTGATTCGTTAAAAACATTTCTAATGAAATCTATATAATGACATTTGCTGAGATGTTAAAAGAGCTTGGGTCTAGAGACTGATTTCATGTTTAAAATGAATATTTCTGTGCCAGTTTAATTCGGAGAATACAAATAGTTCAAGTCCCTCTCAAGTGGAGAAGACTTGAGACATGATGGTGCGTTCACTGACACTCACCATGTTCAGGAAATCTGAGGTTTCCCCGAGGCCTCTAACGCTGTCGGTGTCCGTCAGATTCTCCACCACCTCGTCTGTGAGAGGAAACAGAACGGCAGGTTGGAACGGTTTCCTCTCTTTGACAAGAAACAAACAATCCCAGGAAACAAGTCGATCTTTTAAATTAAATCTGAGCAACAAGGGATGGCCTTCGGGGAGGAAAGGAGGGAAGGAGGGAAGGAGGGAAGGAGGAAAGGAGGTGGAGGTGGAGGTAGGTACCCTGCTGCATTGACCCTGCGCTCCTGTGTTGGTGCGAGCCGTTCAGCACCTGTCTGTTGCTGGCTGTGTGGTTGCAGACGGGGGGTGGAGGCTGCAGGAAGCCAGGTGTGAACATGGAGCCGAACTGCTCCGGAGATCGCTCCTGGGGGGGGGGGGGGGGAGATATCACAGAATAGCAATGTTGTTAATGTATAATCAAATGTATTAGCATCTAAATATCCTAAATAGTAGATTGCAAACAGATGAATGTTTGTCGGGGCACAGAGCTCAGGTGTTTAATAGTCTTATTGCCTCTGTCTTTACCAGGTGAGGAACAGAATATGAAGTTAAATAATGTACATTAAGATACACAAACAAAAATTCTATTGACATGTATATAGACTTTTACTGTAGCACTACTTTTTATTTTGTATTTCTGTATTTTAGCAGAAGAATTTCATTGCCATTTCTACACTGTAGCTTTGAGCATATGACATTAAAACCTTTGAATCTTGAATCTTGAAAATGAAATACGGTTTGAATACGTTTAAGTGCAGTACCAGTGTGTGTGAGTACCCACCCTCTCCCTCCTGCGGACCCGAGCAGAGAGGCTCCTCTGGAGGGTGGAGGAGTCCATGGAGTCCCCCAGCAGCTCCACGTAGGGCTTCAACAGGAAGTCCTCTGTCACGTCCTCCTCCTCCAGAGTCACGGTGCTGCTCGGGTCCCTGGGACGGGCCAAAACCACCATGTGACACCCGCCGCACGTCACCTGGTAACGACAGGGTGCACATTTGGATAAGTCAATTAAAAACGTCTAAATGTACCTTTGAACTTATTTTAAGGTCTCCTATTATATAATTTGTAGGCATATAATAGTTCTCAGATATATAGCTTTAAAAATATCATGTTCCAAACCACATGAAGGATTCTCTCTGAAACAGTATGGAGCTCAAACTCTTTCTCTCTCTCAGGTTTACCACAAGGTGACTTCCTTTTGATGTCCTGCTTCTTCACACATACTCTCTCCAGTACAGGTTAGCTCTGGGTGTTAGCATGCTAATGTAAACACAGACCATATTACTTCCAGAACACGTCTCATTGTTTCTGAAAAGCCCGCCCACATTTGAGTAATGTCGTCATGACGCAGATAATCTGGATCAGCTCCGTTGTTCCCCCGTTTTTAGAGATGTGGGTACGGAGGAAAAGAGAGAGGGGTTTATTTCCTGACACTTTGTGAGTCTCCTGACCAGAGGTCGCGTTAACCGAATATTTTCCGTCTATGACGTAATTTTTCCAAGTATGACGGAAAACTCTGAAAGCAGTCCGTCATTTTGACAGATTAGAGCACAACTCGGAACAGCGCCAAAATGTCCACCAGCGGCCCACATTATATTACATCCTTAGTGGCCAGGTCGACTGAGGGCGATCTACTGTACTCTACTGTAACTATTATTTAGTAATTCACACCCCTGTCCAGTTGGTAGCGAGTGTGTGGATATTAAGTAGCTATTGTCTCGTCTTGTATTTGACCTCGTTGATTTCCTCGTTGTTTAACCGGCTTTAGCAATCGCAAAATGTCACGGCAGCTGAGTGTCCGAAGCTTTTTTAATAAGCCCAGTAATTGTGATGGTGTGGATAAACGAGGTGAAAAAAGAGGGATTGATGCAGTGGAGGATGAAGGACAAGCCAGTAAGACTACAACTGACAACGTTCAGCCAGCAGCAGAGGGACAAGCAAGTGGCAAGGAAAAATAAATCATTCATATTCGTTTTGACATGAAAAGTGACCGCACAGTCGGTGTCTCTGTTCATCTTCTTTTTCTCCATGCCCTTAAAGGTTCTGTATGAATCATAAAAAAAAGGAATGATTGAACATTTGCTGCTTAGTACCCAAACATAAATATTAAATATGTCTCATCATTAAAACATGAAAAATAAAATGACGGGTAATAATGGATTATGACGGAAATGTTACGATCCTGTCCGTCAAAATGACAGACAACGAAAAAGTCTAACGCAACCACTGCTCCTGACACACCGGACACACACCGGACACACACCGGGGACACATGGTGATGTAGAGAAGACATCACAAAGTGCATTCTGCATGATAGGAGACCTTTAAATTATTATGAACATCATTTCGAACACGTACCGCCTGCACGTTGTATTTGAGGAAGCGCGGACACAGCGTGGGTTTGAACTGGTTTGTGAAGTTCTCGTCTCCGAGGCCCAGTTTACCGTGACGACCGTCTCCAAACGTGTACAGCAACCCTCCGTCTGAACATTAAAACACAACAAGAGGTATTCACATCCATCTGAGACTCTGCATCGCACTGTGCCATACCTACATTAAGATAGATCAGAAGTACTTTATTGATCCTCATCTGAGAAGATATACATGTTGAAATACAAATGTACAGTAACAACATATAAACAGGATATGATATAAGTATGTGAGCAATGGAATATTAAATATTAGAATGTAAAATGAACAGCGTGAGTTCAAGTCCAGAGAGTTCTCTTCCAGCCAGAGGAGATGTGTTATTAAAGTTATAGCAGGAGTAACTTTGGAGTTAATCCGTTGGTACCTGTGATGACAGCCGTGTGGTTTTCTCCGCAGGTCACATGACACACTCGTCCTTTCTTGAAGTGTTCGATGCGTCGAGGCAGCCGCGACTCGAAGATGAACGTCCCGTGACCGAGCTGTCCGAACTGACCGAGGCCGAACGTGAACACGTCGTCCTCTGAGAGACGAAACATCCAGCATTATTTTAATAGAAAATTAAATATATAATAATTTGATTTAAATAGTTAAAAAATACAAAAAACTTTAGATTTATAAATGAACAATATTCTTTGAAAATAAAATAAAGCACTTTTATTTCATTTCATTCAGATTATTTAGCTTTTTTTTTTTTTAAACGATGCAAATAAAGCCGTACAAAAATAGTAAAATATTGAATTAAAACAGAAATGTGTATAGTGTACCTGTGAGAGCCACGGTGTGCCCCCCCCCACAGGAGACCTGGGTCACCGGCTGCCTCAGCCCCCCCACCAGCTGGGGGACGCGGTGCCGCTGCAGCTGCTCCGTGTTCAGACCCAGCTTCCCACTGTCACACTCCCCAAACGTGTACAGCCCTCCGTCCTCTGACACACACACAATTATTATATTAATACCATACGGTAAAACTTCAATGGTCAGATCAGGTCTGAAATGCTCCTTGCATCCCAGCAGCTCCATGTGGAACATCAACAGACAAACATCAAGACACAATCCATGAGAAACAAACAACAAACATGGAACATCACATCAGGATCAATGAGAGCTGCTCAAAGAGCCTTCAGCGTGCATCTGATCTGCAGCTCTGTGTTTACTGAGAGGACTGGAGCACAAAGGATGCTTCAGTCTGACTTTATTGATCTCCATCAGATGGTAGCAGTTCAGATTCTCTGTCAGAGCATGCTTTGGGTCCCAGAGGATGTTGTTGCCTCTCCGGTTATTATGGTCTGTGAGTCAGGAAGTCTCTGACAGGGTGACCAACAGTCTTTGAGCAGATTTCTAACAGGTGGAGCAGGTTAGATTTGAAAGCTGTTGACAAACACTTGTACCAGGTAGTGTTGCAGTACTGTAGAACAGACACAATCACTGATGTAAAGAACAACAGAAGAGTTTCTCTGCTCGCCCCAAAAGACCCCTAATGGACTTCCCTTTAGTCAGAAGATCTCTGCACAATAACCCCTCCCCCGGAGCTCACCTGTGATGAAGGCGGAGTGGTAGTACCCGCAGGACACCCAGCTGATGGAGCGCCCCACGCTGACTTCCTGTGGCGTCGAGGCGTGGCTCTCCTTCCCCAGACCGATCTGCCCCTCCGTGTTGTCGCCCCACATGAACAGGTCCCCCCCCTCTGTGAACACATCCTTTACTCAAGTAGAAGTACACATACACGTGTTTAAAAATACTCTGGTGAAAGTAGAAGTACTGACTAAACTTCTTTACTCAAGTAGAAGTAAAGAACTTTGAAATGTACTTCAGTAAAAAGTACCCATAGCTAGCATCTGTTTTAAAGAGTACCTGACCTCCCTTTATATTAATAAACAATAATGTCATTGTTAGACCCCAGAGCTCCCAGCTGCTGTGCATAATGACAATCTGAAGTTCACCTGTGAGCACGGCCGAGGTGTTGGAGCCGGCAGCGAGCATTTTGATTGGTCCCCGCGAGTCGAAGAAGGCGATCCTCTGGAAGGACGTCCTCTCCTCACAGTCCCCGAGGCCCAGCTGACCCTCACTGTTCCCCCCCGAGGAGAACACCCCGCCCTGGGCTGCACGGAGGAAGACACACCTCACATTATCTCTCTTGATATGACCTGTTTATAAAGCCAACTCACCAGGTAGACCCTCACCTGTGTAGAGCAGAGTGTGGTTCCTCCCACAGGCCACAGTCTGCACTCTCTCACATTTCAGAGCTGGAATTAGAAGAAGTGAATCTTTATTAAAGCACATTTGAGCTGGAAATAACAAGTGACAGGAGACGATATTACTCAAGTGAAGTAGAAGTACCTTGAATACTCAATACTCAAGTGAATGTACTTAGTCATGCCAACTCCCCCCTTTGCAAACTGAAGACCCAGCTGTTTCTCTTATACCGTGATGCAGCAGCTCTTACTATGGTCGGGATTATTTGGAGTAAACATGTCAGCACTGTTCTTGTTGTCCTTAGTTTGACTCTTTATGGTTTATTGCACTTATTGTAAGTCGCTTTGGATAAAAGCCTCAGCTAAATGCTATGATGTAATGCAGTCTACTTACTTACATTCGACCGGCAACCTTGAGTTGAGAGGAGTTAGGATTGTTAGATTGCTTGTTTTAATAAAGTCTCTAAATGTATTTTGGAACATACCTAAATACCTAAATAAAAGATAACATGCTAGGAATGTGTTTTACTTGATTACCTCAGTACATCTAATCGTAGCATGAGTGCACAGAGATGTGATCGCAGCCTCTCTGCAGATTACAGCAGATTACAGACCCTCCAGATTGGGATTATAACAGAAACAAATCTCTGGGTTTCCTCCAGCAGGGCTCTCACACACGAAGAGCATGCACACGGAGAGACACAACTATACAACTATTTCTCTATATCCTAAAAGAGTCCCTCTCAGGTCCCTCTCAGGTCCCTCTGAGGTCCCTCTGAGGTCCCTCTCAGGTCCCTCTCAGGTCCCTCTCAGGTCCCTCTGAGGTCCCTCTCAGGTCCCTCTGAGGTCCCTCTGAGGTCCCTCTCAGGTCCCTCTCAGGTCCCTCTCAGGTCCCTCTCAGGTCCCTCTCAGGTCCCTCTGAGGTCCCTCTCGGGTCCCTCTCAGGTCCCTCTCAGGTCCCTCTCAGGTCCCTCTCAGGTCCCTCTCAGGTCCCTCTCAGGTCCCTCTGAGGTCCCTCTCGGGTCCCTCTCAGGTCCCTCTCAGGTCCCTCTGAGGTCCCTCTCAGGTCCCTCTCAGGTCCCTCTCAGGTCCCTCTCAGGTCCCTCTCAGGTCCCTCTGAGGTCCCTCTGAGGTCCCTCTGAGGTCCCTCTCAGGTCCCTCTCAGGTCCCTCTCAGGTCCCTCTCAGGTCCCTCTCAGGTCCCTCTGAGGTCCCTCTCAGGTCCCTCTCAGGTCCCTCTCAGGTCCCTCTGAGGTCCCTCTCAGGTCCCTCTCAGGTCGCTCTGAGGTCGCTCTGAGGTCCCTCTCAGGTCCCTCTCAGGTCCCTCTCAGGTCCCTCTCAGGTCCCTCTGAGGTCCCTCTCAGGTCCCTCTCAGGTCCCTCTCAGGTCCCTCTGAGGTCCCTCTCAGGTCCCTCTCAGGTCGCTCTGAGGTCGCTCTGAGGTCCCTCTGAAGAGTCAGCAGCAGGTGTCGGAGGCAGCATTTTGCACCCAGCGCTCTCCCACCTGTTTGGGAGTAAACTGGGGAAAAGAGCTCTTTTAAAGACACACCTTTGACACACGTCGGCTTGCTCACGGTCGCTTTGGAGCCCAGACCCAGCTGGCCCCAGTTGTTGCTCCCAAACATGAAGAGTTTCCCATTTTCTGTGGAGAGAAAGGAACATTTCTGAGGTGTTTGAGGTGCATTTTGAGGTTTAGCGTGATTAAATACAGAAGTAGGAGGCACACATGTATTTCATTGTGGGCAAAATAACATTTTCCTTGCAGGGAAATCAGAATGAGAAAGACTTTACTTGTTGTCTTCATAGATACATCTGTAAACTCTGATATTTTAAAGATTTTAAACGTTTCCAAGTCCAGTCAAAGACGTGTGAAATGTGTCTTACCTGTGATCAAGGCGGTGTGCTCGTCCCCGCAGGCGATCTTTAAGGGGACGTCGTTTTTAAGCCAGAATTTACTCGGGACGTTTTCCGCAAATTTGCTCTTTCCAAAAGTAAAAACTGCCCCTGATTCTGACAGAGAAGAAGAGGAATAACATCTCAATTACAGAAAGTATTCAATGAATTAATTATCAGTGAAGTGTATGGGTCTTCAACTAAAGCTGAGGTTACTTTGTATTTATAGATTATTTATACTAAATCAACAAACAAACACACGAGGATGCAAACTGCAAAATTGTAGTAACAGCTTCTGCATTTAAATTATGAACATGTGAATGAATCAATAATTAAAATGCAATGCGATACTATAAATTATTCAGAGATACATTCTTCATAATGAGTACTTTTGGTATATTTTAATGGTAATATCAATCAATCAAAACTTTATTACAGACTCAGGGTCCAGATAAAAGACAAGACATTACACATAATAAATTACATACAACAAATTCATAGTTTAAGAATAATTTAAATCAGTGTCCTACAAAGAGACAACTATAGCAATGTCTCCACAGCTGTGATTGGTAGCGTGTAGTACTAAACCTTATGTTTGATAAGGCCAAGAGGATTTCATTATCAGAGTCATTAAGCCGGCAAATATATTTATACATGAGATTTCTTAAGACAGCTTGTAGAGTATTGACTCCTGCAGCCACACACATTTCACTTGCACTAGACCATCGAGGTCTCTTCAGCAATATCCTCATGGCATCCTTATAAGCTACTTGAAGTTTCCGTAAACTTGCTTTTCTGTAGTTTGACCACAAATGTGCAAAGTGGTGTGCAATATGCTCTGAACAGAGACATCTGCACTCCATCTGTACACACACTCAACTTAGGTAAGAGAATGTTTGTTGTGCATACATCATGCGGCATTGCCTATAAATATCTTCATCATCTGTCATTTGTTCTGAAATAAAGTGTCCAAGATTAACTTATTACAGACACTAAGATTAATATCAGACCATTTAAAATCAGGATATGTTAGACTTCATTCAAGATTTAATGCAAGATATTACAGATAATTGTTTACACCTCGGTATTAGTACTTTTACTTAAATAAAACAACTTCTTCGATCAGTGACTTTAACTGTGGGGTAAATATACTGCAATACAAATGTATAATTCCCCTTTAAAAGACATTTAAAGTAGCATAACATGGAAATACTCATGTAGAAGTACCTCTAAACTGTAGTTCAGTAATGAAGTGTGTGCATTATGTAAAGACTAACTGAATGAAGGCAGATCAGAAACTAGCTTCTCAGTTACAGATATTAGGTTTCTAACAATAGAAAACACATTAAAAACCAACTTTGTTTTAGTTATTCCAGCTAAGAAAAGAGGAAAGAAAACACTTACAGCCGATAACCTGAAATACTTCACCAACTTGTGAGTAATAACGTGTATAATAAATACTTAAATATATGATTAAAGCAGGGAAAGTGAAGCTAAAACTGTTTATTTTCCGTTAGCCAGCGAGCTAAAGCAGAAGCTAAACTGCACTTTAAATGCACGCTAACGGCTCATTCAACACTTTAGATATAATTCACTTAGTTTTAAGGGTAAATATGCTATTTAGCTATAGTTATTTACCTGGAATCTCGTCCTCGGTCTCTCCTGCCATCTCTGCGGGACTTTAATCCGCTTTTCTCGGCGTCGTGGGCGTGTTGCTGCCCCTCTTGTTTACGACTCTGACAACCCGGAAGTAAACAAAACTTCTCCTAGGTTACGACGCCGACAACGTGACCCTTAAAGGGACAGTACCTTATTTTAACGTGAGGAGGAAGAATAACACAACTAGTGTACAAATACTCACTTAAAGTACACAGAGTAGGATGTTGTACTTGAGTAAAACTAAAAGTACTCACATTTTGTACTTGAGTAAAAGTAGAAGTTCTTCTACTTGAGTAAAAGTAGAAGTACTCAGATCTTGTACTTGAGTAAAAGTAGAAGTACCAGAGTGTAGGAATACTCTGTTACAGTAAAAGTCCTGCATTCAAAATGTTCCTCAAGTAAAAGTAGAAAAGTATCATCATCAAAATATAGTTAAAGTAGCGACAGTAAAAGTAGTCAATGTGCAGATTGGTCCATTTCAGAATAATATATATGATATGTTTTATAATGATTGATCATGAAAGTGTTCTCAAAGCTGGTAAAGGTGCAGCTAGTTTGAATGACTTTGTATACTGCAGGGTAGCTTGTGGATTTACTCCAGGTGGAACTGAAGTCTGATTTAACACTTGATTATATTTCACATCATTCATCTGTAAAGTAACTAAAGGTATTAAATACATGTATTGGAGTAGAAGTACACAGTAGCATAACATGGAAATACTCAAGTGCAAGTACCTCTAAATTGTACTTCCCAGTACATCCATGCCATCATCAGATACTGAGGTATAAATGAAACAACACACAGCTCATTTCCATATAATTTAATTTAAAAAATAAATCTTCTTTTAATATCTCTTCAACCAAAATAACTTCATAAACAATATTGGATTTTTGTAAACAAATAACACTTAAATACACTATAACGCTTTCTAACATCTCTGTATTAAACAGTAATGGTACATATAACACAGACTTGGACTATGAAACTAATTTCCTTTATTCTTTACCTTAATATTCCACTTCTTCACCTTTAAATTGACACATTTAACATATTTGACAGATCAAATAATAAACACATTTAAGGTGTTGTTATTATTGCACACAGTGAAACTCGTAGGATTTCTTACACAGTGTTCAGGTATTTATAATGTTTACTATACATTAAAAGGTAAATAATTGATTAATGATTGGATTCTATTATATTAAGGGATTTGTAAAAGGTTTTCTGCACATTAAGGGGTTTTCAGGGGGAAACGTTGACCAAAACAATATACAAACACCCCTTAACTTACAGTGTGCCATAAAAGTGCCTTTATTTTTTATTTAAGTTGCAGGGAAACCCATTAAAACACCCTTTGAATGTTACAATCTGTTAATTGATCCAATATATCACATTAAATACCTGAATGCTGAATATTAATCCTGTTACTTCTCTGCACCTAGAGATCTTAATACCAACATTACTAACCCGATGATAACTAAAGTGTGTTTGGTGTTTAAGGGTCGATTCAAGGAGCAGTTTGAAGTGTGGTTAAATAAGGTCCTACTTTTTAATAGCTTCCTGTCAGTAATCTTATCTTCTTCTATATATAACTATAAGGAAATACACTGACTATGGAAAGGTACCTCACACAACCACACTTTAAAACTGTAAGGGCTTTGTTAAGGGATTGTTGTTTCATAGCTTTAAAGGACGCAAAAAGTCTTTTTTTGAGCTCATTCTGAATCCGAGTGCTCCTATATTTATGATCTGTGTCAGGTCACAGCTTCCTCGTCCCAGCATGCATCAGGAGGAACCCTTTTTGCACTGTTTTGGAAGCACGTGAAGTCTTTGCGACACAGTGTATGACGTACATTATGACTTGGTGGGACAGAATATCAGAAACCCTCGTGGGCATTGCGTCTGGGTTCGGCATGTCGATGATTCTGGGCATGATTTTCTCATTAGTCCTGCTCTGTCAAATGAGTGCTGGAAAGAAAAGCTTCATTTAAAATGTTCATCACGAGGCCTGAACTGTACCTGTGTGTTTATCAAAGGACAAGGCATCAAGTTCATGTTGAGCGCCTCTTTATTGGGCTCTGCCTCATTGTACTTTCTGTTGATAAAAGCGTCCTCCATGTGACCTTTCTTTGCCCTTCAGCCCTGATCCAGGCCCAATGGATGAAAGCTCTCCGGGTCCAACACCTTCCTGCCAAGCCAGTGTAAGAGCAGCGAGTACCAGTGGACCCCCTCATGGTTCTGATGGGAACCAGTGAATCCAGTCCAGCTGTGGAGGATCCTCAGAGGAGAGAAAGCCCAGTGAGCGAGGGCGTGCTGCTCCACCACCGCGTAGCAGGAAACCAACACGCCGTTCACCACCAGCGTCCCCTGCTGGGTGAGCGGAGCAAACGCACCCCTGCTGGCCCTCAATGTGACCCGTTTGACCCGAGAAAGACGCCCTTCTCCACCCGTTTGCACCACCACACACTGTCCTATTTGAGCGTCACTAGCATACACCGATCTGAGGCTACGTGGCAACATCCCCTCGGTGCAGTTCCCCTCCGACACGAAAACGAGGTGCGCGGCGGTGAGAGAAATGTGGGCGCCGGACTCAGTGTGCAGCGTGTAGAAAAGCGTCCGGGTCACGAGGTCGCGGTCCAGGAAGAGCAGGACTTCGCTGTAGATTAACTCCCCGGTGCCGTTTCCCACCGTTAGGACGCGCTCCCCGGGTCGAAGGTCGCTCAGAGACTTCTGCTCGCCGCTCGATAACGTCACCGAGGCCTCGCCGGGGAAACACCCGCCAGATTTAGCCGCCACGGAGTGATCTGAAAGAGATGCCACGAGGTTAGAAAGGAAGTCACAAATGTTATTTCCTGCCATGAAAACAACACTAAATATATATATTTTTAAAGCTGATCATCAAGTAAGCAGCCTTGGGTCCCTTTGAAAGGCACTATACAAATGTAATCTATTACTATTATTATTAAGTAACATGCAGTTTTAACATCTCATTTATTGATCTGAATGAGTCCTGACCTGAAGGAGCTCCATACAAAGAGACCTGAGGACACAATAAACCTTTATCGACTCCCTTTGGATAAATATTGACTTTCCTTTCTCTCCTGGACACAAAAGAATGTGTCACGGTGTGTGTGTGTGTGCGTGTGCGTGTGCGTGTGCGTGTGCGTGTGCGTGTGCGTGTGCGTGTGCGTGTGTGTGTGTGTGTGTGTGTGTGTGTGTGTGTGTGTGTGTGTGTGTGTGTGTGTGTTGGCACTTTGGGGATAAATATTTGGGGAAGGTATGAAAAGTTAAGGCCAGGTGATAAGATAAGTGAGGAGGAAGCAGCCGAGGGTTATTCATCTAAAAAACACAGTTTGGAAACGTGTCTTCAACATTCACATGTCTGCATATATCTGAAACAACTTAAATATATATATATATATATATTGTGAAGTAATGGAAATATGTCTCATCTTGTCGTAACGCTGCAAAGGTCAGAGGTTAACAGAGCTGCTCTCTAGTGGTTGTTTCCCCTCACTTGAAGCATTTTAAATGAAACTTTGAGGAGAACCAGGAGAGTCAAAAACATGAACGAATACCAACTTGATTGGTTGCCCTTCTGATCAAGTCAAGGACTGGGACCTCGCTACCCGATCTGGGAGGAGAGAAGAAGAAGAAGTAGGAAACAGGAGAGAGACAGAAAGGAGATCTCAGTTACCACTCGGTGTAAAATGTGTGAGGCGGGTGTTTAAACTGTGACGACTGTGTGACTTTCAGCTCTTCTCATGGCACACACGTGTTACTTTTCATACAAGACGACGGAAAGGAGACACTTTCAGCATCGTACACTCTTATCTTTTTTATATCAAATCAAAATTGTTATTTAAAAGCAACCTGTGACGAAATAACTACTAAGTCCATCAAAAAAAATAGAGCTTTACATGTTAATTTTTGGCTTTAAAACACTACACTACCCATGAGCCTCAGCTGTACATGCAAATGAGAAGAAGCTAGGTAAAAAAATGTAGGTCTTGGATCTTAAGCGACACACATGTCTTATGTATGCTAATGAACCGTTTCCCATTCTTAAAATCAATCACTTGAGTCATTTCTAAGCTTCATTGTCCTCAAGTGCAAATAAAGTGCTGCAAAAAAAAAGCCATAAAAAGCTCCCAGAAGCAAATGTTTAGATGTGATGTGGAACGTGGGTGAGTGGGAGGTGAGACAGAGAGAAAGAATGAAATATAAGAGCTGGATATAGTTATGGAGCGAGCAAGAGGAAAGTTCGGGATGGAAGAGGGAAACAGGAAAGGTTAGGAAAAAGGAAAAACGCAGCGCGGCAGTTTTTAAATCGATTGCACTGTTCTGCATTTGGGTTTGAGAGTCCCTGTGCAACACAAGTCCTCTGATCATACTATTGTCAGGCTGCAGGAAGCATGTTCAGATTGCAATTTGTTGGATTAGCAATGCAGGATGCAATATGCACCGGCAAAGAACATGTGCCTACAACATTTCATAGGTAGTCCTGAGACATAGGATGAAACTCAAGTCTGAAGGCTATGGACTTTACGGGGAAATAAATTGCTTCTAAAGGAATTAAACAATCGCTTGAATCCATTTCCACGATGTCTATAATCAAAACGACCATTTTCAGGTGAGTTTAATTAATGAAAATGTGCACAAAATCCAATGAAAAGCCCAGTTAAAGCATCACTAAGAGATTTTCATACGAAGCCCCCCCTCCCCTGACTTGACGCTGCAGTGGATGTGGGCTTTGGACTCGTAGTTTAAATAAGTTTGCACATATTGCATGTTCAGTAAGGCCCAGTAAACTTGTCTCTGAACGTGAATAAAATACTTCTTATCTTATCCTATGGTAGATCAAACCCTCCCTCCAGTGTTTGGATGCCTCGCCCCTCTCACCTGACTTGACGCTGCAGTGGATGTGGGCTTTGGACTCGTAGTTTAAATACATTTGAACATATGGCTCCTACAATAGATGAAACCCCCCCCTCACCTGACTTGACGCTGCAGTGGATGTGGGCTTTGGACTCGTAGTAGACCCAGTCGAAGCCGGCCTCCACGGCC